TGCCACTAAACCTATAGACACAAACCACTAAGTTCCTCCTCGGAACTACCAAGTGGGTATTCCGATCCGGGGTAGATTCAGAGAAACACTGCTCTTGCTAGGGCTAGTGTTAGCAAACTCTCTCGGTCTGAGCCCCATAACTCACTCACCTATCACGGTGAAGGCAAGATATCCTCGCAAGGTCCATAGGCAAGCAAAGAAAACATAATGATTGACGACTTTATGTAAATTACATCACGTTCAAAAAGTGTGTATTCGAAAATACCATTAAACACCATATGTGTTAATGTTTTTTAATTCGTTCGGTAGACAGCGACTTGGCTCTGCATTGCTGAAGTCCACGAGCGACGGTAACCATTCACCATTAGGTGAACCGTATGTTCGTCTGCTTACAAGGGCAATAAAAAAACTAGCACGTTATTTAGACTTCATCAATCTATTTTCCTCCTACATACCATGATTTTTATTTTGTTATTCGTTCCCATAAACTGTTTAATTTTTTTTGTATCTCACGGCAATGGGTTGCCTTGATTACGAATAGCAGGATAAAATTCGATTTGCCAATTACTATTTTAAAACTTACATACGTAGAAGCTAATGGCGTTTGCACGATATCTTAAAGCTCGTATATCCAAATGCCAAAGTTGAAGCTAGACCGGTGATTGCGCAACTACCGGTCTCAGGTTCAGAAGCTAATATCCTGAGGAAACGGCCGATTACTTACCTGACACGACTGATTCATTCTCAATGTATGACTAGATTTTTATCATACGTATTTCGCCACTATTTAATTTTTTTTTGGTCAAACAGGCTTTTGAACGTCCTGCCCATATGGTGTTAAGTGATTAGTGAAGCCCTTAAAGATAAACATCCCAAATGATACCCAAATTGAGACATGAGTTCTAAGCCTCATTGGTATAGTAAAACGGCATTACCCGTAACACAGCCCACAGAGTTTCTCGCCGGATCTTCTCAGTGGGTCGCGACTTAGATTCGCGGGTAGATTCAGCGAAGCACTGCTCTTGCTAAGGCTAGTGTTGGCAAATTCTCTCAGCTTGAGTCCATGAGCTAACCTACCTGTCCGTGCATAGTTGAAATAACCTCACAGGCTACCGGCGAGTAGGTAAGAAAAAAAAATCGCGTGGCACTCGGGGACTGCCGCGGTAAAGCTATTGCAGAGCATTTTTATCAACTTATGCAATTATAATTGGCCAATAAAAATTTAATATTAAAAAAATAACACCACGCTATATTTATAAACATTAATAAAAGCAAAACATTAGCTGTCTCCTTTACAACTCATAAGCTAGACCGCGCGAGAGAAAGATGGGCAGACTTTCTATAATGCAATGCAGTGGATGTCACGCCGCGCGCTTATTCACAAACACTACACAAGCGCAACGTGTGAATGTGTTGAACGCGAGCTACATGGTAGGCGGAGTGGGGGTGTTAGGTTTTATTTTCGTTACGGAATTTCTTGATTCGATCGCCGCGCTCAAAGCCCGCGATAGAAGCTATGCAATAGCTTAAAAACCGGCACGTATCAGTGCTTAGCGGCATAACTAAGCAAGTTAGTGGTATGTATATTGATTTATACAATACAGTGTTATGAATTTATCGATTTTCGTATTTAACACATTCACGAAATATGTTGTTTTACTTAGCGAATCTCAACATAGACGTATTTGTAGTGAATTCCTTCTTAAGTTACTTTTTTTATTAACGTTATAGTATGCTGCTGCGTTATAGTCCGAAACGTTTGGGCATAATCCAGTCGCTGCCAAGCTTACATACACACATTTAAGATGCAAGCCAAAAAACCCGGAAAATGTATTTTTTATAAATAAAATGGCTAGATTAAGTAAAATATAGAGGTCAATAGGAAACTTCTATTCGTATCCTCGATGATGATACCTATTGAAATAAATAAATAAATTACCTTGAATTTGGATGACAGTATCAATGAATTTATTAATGTATATGTAGCTCACGTGATCGAAAATCACGTTTCGTGCAGTCTATATACATATACACATATTATATACCTAGTACTAGTACTTGTGTATATTTAAGTTTTGCTGATAAATTCACGCTTTTTAATTATTTATGAAAATGCAACTTTATAGTGCAAAATGCCTAACAATGAATGATTACAAAGTATTGGCCGTTTCTAGCCACAATTCTTTCCCATCTTTCTGGTAGACTTCGATAACCTTTACGACATAAGTGTTCGTTTGAATTTGGAGTTATTTTGTGTTTATCTACATGTTAACGATTCTTTGATATCTGTTATTATATATGAGCTAAATTGTTGTCATCGAAGAAAACAAGTAATAAATGGACAGTGCCACATCTGGGGGATATAAAATAGTTGGGAAGTAGGACGTCCCATTTGATTGTTTCCAAGTAGAATTTGATTTATTTAGCCCTACTACTACTAATAGCCTCAAGGAGTTACATTAGTTTCTGATATATATTACGATAGAAACTTACGATTGGAATATTTTATTACTGAAGGATTATTGGTGTTAGTGCATTACTGGTGGCGGTTCCAGGGTATGGGGATGATCGAAGAGGGTGATCGGGGGTGTGAGAGTCATCCTCCTAAACCGGAAGGAAGTCCGTGTGGAGTTTTTTTATTTATTGTTTAAGTTGTTAGACGAGCTCACAGTCCACCTGGTGTTAAGTGGTTACCGGAGCCCATAGACATCTACAATGTAAATGCGCCACCCACCTTGAGATATAAGTTCTAAGGTCTCAGTATAGTTGCGTTTAGGTGTACGTAACAGAGTTTCCCCTTTGAAATATCACCGCTGTGCTTTTCGCTGGGTTGATCGTACAGATTGGGTTCTTTGATGCGGCCATCGGATCGAAGTTAAAGATTGGTCGGCAAAGCGGGCCCGGTTTGTCGGGTAATCATAAAATACAATTTCACACAGTAACTGTTGCATTCAATTGATGTCGGCCTTGATACGTCAATGCTAACGAACTACTTTTGTAACAATATAATATCAGCTACGAATCACGATTGCAATCATATTATTAATGTTTTTGCTTAATATGTTACGTAACAATGACATTCATTTAGGCAGGTATTTACTGTATTATCCAGTATTGGGGCCAGTGCGATTAATGTATTTTTTATTGGTCTTGTGAGTCCGCCCGGGTAGGTAACGGTAGGTAACACCGCCCTACCTATTTTTACCGTGAAGCAGTAATGCGTTTCGGCTTGAAGGGTGGCGCAACCGTTGCACTGTAAAAACTAACCTTAGAACTCATGTCTCAAGGTAGGAAAGAATTGTAGAGATGGGTGGCAGCACTGAAGATGTCTATGGGCTCCGGTTTTTTTTAATTGATTTAAAGATTACTGGTGGCCTGGAGTCCTTTCCAGTTTCACCAGGACAGGTGGGCGAGCAAAGGCTCAGCCAGGAGTGGCGGGCTCCGATAGCCGCTTAACGCCCGGTGGGCCGTGAGGTCGTCCACCCATCTAAGCAATAATAAAATAGGTTAATACATGAAACTTTTTATTGTCTAAAATTGTTTTATTGGAAATTAGTTATTAACAAGCATTTGAACTTTCATTAATGGAAATATTACTAAAACTTGCTTTTTGATTAGTCATTATCACTCTGGCAACATTTCGAAACTACATTTAAAGTTTACGCGCTTAGGCCCCGACTTACTGCTGTGGATTGATAAAAAGAAAAAAATACATGTTTTATTACAAATAATTCCTAAGCATTAATGTTTTTAATTAATAATAAAGGTGTAACCAAATTTGTAGACAAATATTTAATTATTGTGCATAATTTTATAGGTTAGGCGATTCGTAAAACGAAACAACTTTCCCGCCTAAAATGTCCGATTTTTACATTAATGGCGTCGCATCGCTTTGGTTTGCTTACAATATCTTTTTATTTCTAAAACATTTGCCTTGTCATGGCTATGTCTGAGCCACTGCCTACTCCTGAAGACTCATTTTAAGACTCTGAATGAAAATGCCTTGCTGTTAACACAAATATACTGTTTTAAAATATGTTAGGCCTTAGTGTGGTTCGTGTAGTCAGTCTGGTGGAGCTCGATGGGGTTTAGTCGGTAGTCGTTCTGCGGGGCAAGTGCTTCGCGCGCCTTTTTCAAGGCGTAGTCTCCTGTGAGAAATTGGGGGAGGTGAAGGACCTTGGCCCTTCTCTTCTCCCCTTCTTCCTCTTAGGAGGCGCCGGAGTCAGACATCCCAGCGTTATAAAAAAGGCCTTAGTGTGGTCATGAAAATCAAATAAACTCAATAAACCTTACTTTATACGTACCGTGTCTTACTTGTTCTTTATTATTACGCTATGCATTACTTGAAACAGGCAACCGTCAAGGGCGTGGGTTATTATTTTATAAAATATAAAACTTTATACCTTTTTTTTTTTGTAAGCCGATATCGTAAAATTACATCAATTATTTATTGTTAAAACCTGAACTAATTGACGGAAGTCGTAAACGAATTGTGCTGTATATTTTTTTATATACATTTTATTGTTATTGTTAAGTTTTATATTAGGTACTTTAGATTTAAAAAAAAAATTGCTAAGGTTATATATGAGGCCGTCAGCGTAAAAGTGGCTTAAGCATACATAGTTCGCATGGAGATAATGAAGTTTGAATTTACTTTTACACTGCTTTGTAGGCAAAAACAATACCCGCAAAAATTATATTTACAAATCCATTTTTTATCTATGTGTGAAACTATGGGTAGGCTGGTTTTGAATCAAAATTTATTTATGTTATAAATTGCGATATAGTATAAGCACGAATATGAAAATTGCGGGCTAGGCCGCTTGTGGCCCGACGGCCTCATATATATAATAACCAAGACACTGTATAAATAAGAACAAAAAAACGGAAACAAAAATCCATTTGGCGGAATTAATTCCAAAGTAAAGTGTTACCTTATAAAAATATTTGCTTTCAAATGAACTAAAAAATGCAATTAATTGTATTATCTCTTTCTTTAGGTACACAGCAAGGGTCTGAAATTCGGTATTTACGAGGACTACGGTAATTTCACTTGCGCTGGCTACCCCGGAGTCGTCGGCCATCTTTCCGGAGGTAAGTTTGACTTAAAAACGAAGTAAGGTTTTCAAGTAACTGTTATAAAAGTGCTGGCAGAATATTGAAATACTAAAAAAATCTTTCGGTTAATATATGTATACACCGACAAAACCTGATTCGACGATAATATCAAGAAATCAAATTTATTTGTATCAGTAGAAGATCTAGACGTGGGAAATATCAACAACAACAACTTCCTATACATGACCGCAACGTCATTTCCTTTATTATAGCACTATAGAACCCGACAAGTTGATCTAAAACAATTATTGGCAATTTCTGGAAATATGTCACTCGATAACAAAGACGCGAATCTGAAATTTGTTTCATTTTGGAAGCCTTTAAATTTCTTTGCATACATATATTTATCAGTCTTTAGTACCCATAACACAAGGAATCCTAAATTGAGGTCGGATGGTCGTGCGTGACTTGTTCGAAGTTATCTATTACGTGAAAAAAAACTTTGTACCCCTTTTTACGAAAATGGCGCGGACGGAGTAGTATGAAATTTCCCACACTTATAGAGAATATAGAGAAGGAGTGCAGGATGTTAATATTTTTTTTAATTATGCATAAAAACTACATTAAATCAATAAAAAACAAACATTACACACACTACCACATATATGACACACACATATGCATACTATTTGTTTATTGTCAAACTTTTCTTAATGCTTATAGTCTGTGGTCAAATTGAGAATAGATTATATATTGTTTGCCTTTATTAATATTTGTCTAAAGTATAGATTATAAAAAGTAAAATAATTATAGTCTTTGACAATAGAACCATAATAGTGTACAAACTTAAAATTTCAATTAATTATAGTCGAATTTCGACTGCCAGGGGACCACTGGTTACAAAAAATAACATTATTGTTTACCAAGACATCGTGTTCGTATACAGATGCGACGACCTTCGCCTCATGGGGCGTCGACTACGTTAAGCTGGACGGGTGCTACGCCCTGCCAACGGACATGGATTACGGCTACCCTGAGTTCGGGAGACAGCTCAATCTTACCGGTCGTCAGATGGTGTACTCCTGTAGTTGGCCCGTCTATCAGATCTACGCTGGTCTACAGGTACAAACCGAGCTTTAAAAGAGCTTACACATAAATCGGCTACCTCAGAAGTCTAATATAATATAAGCATATATGTGTTTGTATATACATGTACATATGCACCTCTTTTGAATTGCAATCCAAATTATTTTTAAATATTTAAACTTATAATTTCTATGGTTGTAATTTGTTTTGTGCATCAATAAAGGAAAAAAAAATTGAAGTTGTGTTGGCCTAAATGATAAGACGTCCGGTGAATTCGTATCTAGCGATGCACCGGTTCGAATCCCGCTGGCGGGTACCAATTTTTGTCTAATCAAATATAATACGTACTTAACAAATGTTCACGATTGACTTCCGCGGTGAAGGAAACAAAATAAAAACTAGTGTTACAAAAATCAAACCCGCAAAAAAGTAACTATGTAATTTAATAGATGAACATATATTGAAAAAGAGAAAATAACGAGTTTCTCTTCATTGATAGAACTTGCATTGGGAACCGGCGGTGAAATTATGATGAACCTGCTTTAATATATCAAAAAAAAAGTGTGGTATCGTGGGACACCGGATAGGAACGAAGTTCCATAATATAAAAATTTTAATTTTAAGTTCTATTCCAGGTATAAAGAAAATAAAACTGGAGGTTTCACAACAACCCACGGTCATTCGGTAACGTGCGAACTTATTGTGGTACACTTCATTCACGGTTGTTTGCATAAGAGTTAGTGTATTGAGCAAACGAACGTTCTGAGATCGTGGTCAATTAATGATAAAAAATATGTTATTTTTTGTACGTTATTACAAAGTTAAGTCGTACAGTGTGTGCATTACTAATAAAAATCTTACGTTACGGACGTTTTATCCCAGTTAGGGTACCCCTCCGCATCGTCCCTTAAGGAACTTTGTTCCAAAAAAAAACATTGTGATCTTCAAACGGACCAAATTTAATTGGCTTATTAATTTTTTTGCTTTATTTCAGCCAAATTTCTCGTCAATAATCGAGCACTGCAATCTGTGGCGTAACTTCGACGACATCCAGGACTCGTGGGCCTCTGTCGAGTCTATCATAGACTACTATGGAAACCACCAAGACGTCATCGTGCCCAACGCTGGGCCGGGACACTGGAACGACCCCGACATGGTCCGTGGCCTTTACTTATACAGCGCTATTGTAACATAACTTTTTGTTTTTCCTACCTAAGCTGATAAGCCTTGAGAGGCTGTGTCTGCGTAACCCTAACAAGTAGGTGAGCTTACGGGGCTCAAACCTGACGACGTTGCTAACACTAGCCCTAGCAAGAACAGCGCCTCGCAGAATCTAGCACCGGATCGGAAACGCGACCCACTGAGAAGATCCGGCGAGAAACTCAGTGCGTTGTGTCTATGGGTTAGTTTACTCGCCGAGCCCTTTGTCGCGAGCGACGGGTTTGACGGGAACGAAGACCAGCGTTCGTGACCTGTATTTTATATAACGCTACTGTAACATGACGATTTATGTAATAAGACGTATGTTCTTTTCCAAAACAGTGCCTTGAAACGTAGCTGCGATACAACAGAATCCCTGTATAAATATATAGGTATTTTTAGTGAATCCCAATAATGCTTAACTTAAAAAATAATATAAAATAATGGTGTGTGTGCAACTTAATGCAAGTGAAAGAAGTGAAACTTCTTATTTCTGTTGCGAACCCTCCTTTCAGAAGTTGTTTGGAAGTAATTCGGAAAATCTAGAGTCTAAGTGCAGCGCCACATGCCGGGTTCACTGTGAGACTAAGGGTCGATTCTACCAAACAAGAGTAAATCTTATTCTTAGAATAACTCGTCAGTTAATCGAGAGTAAATCAATTTTACGTTTTACCAACTACAATTCTAAGAATAGTGGGCCTATTCGGGAATTGTTACTATACCGCCGTTTCGCACGGAATAACGGAGCTATTCCTAGAATAAAGTAATGGCGTCTGTCAGTCCAACATCTGATTTCTGTCATTTCATAAATATTTATTCTGTTTTAATTTCAAGTCAACGCAATGCACTAAATGATTATTAATAGTCTGAATGCAACGTTTAAACGAAAAAAGATAAAACCACACGACAAAACTTGACAATTCCCTCAAACAAACAAGAAATAAAAATAATACGTTTGACAGCTGGATATCTTACACAACAGCTACTTTTTCACACTAAAATACGGCAAAATCGAGTTGACGATTTGTATGCTCTTACACTATGCCGTTGAACAACAACATTTATTTGCCGGATTTTATTTTTGTTCACCATTCACTCTGCTATTCGCGTATTGTTATTCCTAGCGCAAGTATACGTGGAAAAACGACTATGAATTTACTCGAGATTAAAATCATGGAATAGGTTATTCCTCGTATAGTTACTCGAGTTTAAATTTAAGTTTGGTCGAATCCACCCTAAGGCCACCAGGAATCACAATAGAACAAACACACATGACATCAAAATTGATTTCCCCATATACAGTGTCAAAAAAAACTTTAATTTGATTTGAAAATATTTTGTAATAGAATAGTATAAAGATTGTTCTTGCTTCGTACGCAATGTAATATAAAAAAAAAAAAAATTGACCCGCGGTATTTGCTCTTTCGAGAGGGTAGGTATAAAAACTATATGATTTCTTTTGGAAACATAATATAGAGGTATACAACGAAAGCTTAAAAGCTTTACGCCTAACTCTACTACTGAAGGGTAGGGCAGCCGTTGTAACTATACTTGAGACCTTAGAACTTATATCTCAAGATGGGTGGCGCATTTACGTTGTAGATGTCTATGGGCTCCAGTAACCACTTAACACCAGGTGGGCTGTGAGTTCGTCCATCCATCTAAGCAATAAAAAGAAAAAAAATGTGAGCCGTCACGGGACGCCTAGCAGATGTGAAACATCGAGATTATTTTGTAAAAGTAATATGCAGAAAAGAACAGATTGTGATAGGAACTAAATTTGTCATAATGATAAAATAAAATATTAGGAAAAAATAATTTGTTTTCAAGTAAAACACAGGTTATGTGTACTGTAGTAAACAGTACTGTATACACTACGGAGTGTACACTATAGGTATCCGAGCTCAGTGTAGCGAGAGAGATGGCTTAACGCCGGATCGAGTGGGAGAGAATCGCACAGTCGATTGCGCATGGCGACGGGTCGCCACGGCATGCGTCGCCACGCAGAAATCGGTTTTACGTGCGGCTATAGATGTTTCGCATCAAAAAACTCTACTCAGTTGCAATAAGCTGTGACACGACACGAACTAAGCGGATTGCCTTCTTCGAAACAGTTGATCGTCGGCAACTTTGGACTATCGTACGAGCAGAGCAAGACGCAGTTCGCGCTGTGGGCGATCCTCGCCGCGCCGCTGCTGATGAGCGTCGACCTGCGCACCATCAGGCCGGAGTACAAGGCCATACTGCAGAACAGGAAGATCATCGAGGTCGACCAGGACCCCCTCGGCATACAAGGCAGGAGGATCTACAAGGTACTCAAACTTGTCCTTGCTTTATCCTTCTGGGAGGTATAACAAAGAAAACGCGAGATTAAAAACCTCAAAAAAAAACAAACGGTGCGCGTGTAACTTGGCGCACGTGAATGAAGTGAAACTTCTTTTTCGATTTGTAGTATTGTGGTTTTCTTCATATCTTTAAATCAGATTGCTCTTGTAATAGGCAATACTGGGTATAAGAGATGTGACATGTTCAACTTTTATATTATGTATATATTTTTAAATTATAGATAGAAAAATAAATATATTATACATGTTTTTAAATAGTTCATTTAAATATTGGACGCGACTGGTTGCTAACGCTCGCGCTGGCCTGAAATAGAGTGCTTAGTATGAGTTTTTTAACGTCCTCGATAGCGTAAAAGTTAATCCAATTTTGTATTCAGTTGGATCAGTGCCCCAAGCGGCAAACGTAGGCGAACGATTCTATTCCGTACAAATATGAGCTAACTTTTACGCTATCGAGAACGTTAAAAAACTCGCACTAAACACACAGGTATACAACGCGCATGCGTTCGAGTGCCACACATTCACTCTCGCTCTGTCTCTTTCTATACCACGGTAGGGTTAAACGTTTAACGCAACCTTGTTGGAAGTAGCATTAGAAGTTTTACTTCTATAGCGTTATGTTTGAAAGTCGCGACCGTTCTTTATGTTCCAGCACCGCGGCATCGAAATCTGGTCCCGCCCCATCCTGCCCATCCAGCAAGGACAGTTCTACTCGTACGCCGTGGCCTTCGTCAACAGGAGGACGGACGGGACCCCCTCCGACGTCGCCGTCACGCTGAGGGAGCTGGGGCTCAGCAACCCCACCGGCTACAGGGTCGAGGTGAGTGAGGAACCGCCCCACCAGCGAGAGGAGGGGGGAGAGACAACTCATCGGTAACCACAGGACTCACTCTTTGTCATGTCTCCCGCAGGACCTGTACGAGGACGTGGACTACGGCGTGCTGTCGCCGCAGACGAAAATCAAGGTCAAGGTCAACCCCTCAGGTAGAAAGTGTCGTCCTACGTCTATAATATAAGCAATATAATATAAGTAAACGCTATAAGAACGATAGAAATAAGTGTTCTGGTGGCCAAGACACGTGTGGGAATTTGAAGTCGTCGTGGCCTAATGGATAAGACTAAGACTTTTAATACTGTATAAACTATTATATGTATGTATGTGTGTATATATGTATGTATGTATGTATATGTATATGTGATTTTGTATATATGTAGATATACTTTTTGTATGTATTCGTTACCTAATATAAATTTCATTGCACCTACCACTTTTACTCTGCACTACCTTTGGTTGACTGGTAGAGAATGCCTTAGGCATTAAGTCCGCCAATGTAAATTTTACATGAAGTGTAATAAATAAATAAATAAATAAGACGTCCGGTGCATTCGTGTTGAGCGATGCACCGGTGTTCGAATCCCGCAGGCGGGTACCAATTTTTCTAATGAAATACGTACTCAACAAATGTTCACAATTGACTTCTACGGTGAAGGAATAACATTGTGTAATTGATATCAAACCCGCAAAATTATAGTTTGCGTAATTACTGGTGGTAGGACCTCTTGTGAGTCCGCGCGGGTAGGCACCACCGCCCTGCCTATTTCTGCCGTGAAGCAGTAATGCGTTTCAGTTTGAAGGGTGGGACAGCCATTGTAACTATATTGTGACCTTAGAATTTATATCTCAAGGTTGATGGCGCATTTACGTTGTCTGAACACAACTTAAGGTGGGCTGTGAGCTCGTCCACCCATCTAAGCAAATAAAATATATAAAAAAACCTCGCCTAATGCTCTCTGGTCACTAGGTGCCATAGTGTTTATAAGTGATCATTTGACGCAGGGCTGCCTGAAAGCTGGTCTTCCCATGATACTAATTATCATTGTCGTATTCATCTTGCAGGTGTGGTGATTTTGAGGGCAGACGCGCAACCGGGCTACGCTTTCAACGCGATAACGACGCGAACTCCGTACACGCCACTCAACGACGTCTTCCGATTGACCAAGAAATAGGTTACAGCGCCATCTATCTCCCGCCTGCGATACTAAATGAAATGACGCGTGATTGGTTTGATGAGTTACAGTTTTTGATTAACAGAGGGCAGTGATGTAAATTATTTTTCAGATCTGAGTAGGTAGTGTAGTCTTCGTTTTACTTTCTATTAACAATTTTAAAGAACAAATCATTTGAAGTTTACGTGTTTTTACTTTTTTTGTTCAATGTAAGTTTACGATCATTTTTAAATCAGTTTAAAAATTCAAATTTAATTGAGATTTCTAAATAAAATCACTACGGAATTCAGTGCAATCATGCAAATATTTATGAAAATTATTGACCCGCCATCTAGATAGCGAACGCGATATTTTTATCATGTAAATTAAATTACAATTAGCGCCCTTTATACTAACGAGTTTGATTACAAACAATTTTGTGAAAACTTTACCATTCAGTGGAAACAAAATGTTATTTTCATTTTAACTCTAAGGCCCATAGCCCAGTGGCATTTTATATTCCTGTCAATCCATAGATCGTACATATAAAGCGAACATGTAGGTATAGCTATACTGCCTATTTCTGCCGCGAAACAGTTGCCGAATTTTACTTTAAGGAGGTTAGCCGTTGAACAATAATATATTCGAAACTTTGATCGAATATCCTGAGATGGGCCACCGTGTTAACCTTGATAAGTCCATCCAAAGCCAAACTATAAATGAATGAGTCGAACCGATTCGAATTTCAATTAAAATGCCATTTTGAAAAAAAAAAAACTTTTTTTTTGTACAGTAGTATCGGCCAGTGAATGATCAATCGGTATCGAATGACCACCGCGGCAATCGTAACTTGTAAATTTTGGAGTCCATTTTTATTATAAAAAAAAGAACACAATATTCCTAACCTAAAAGTACATGTTATTATCCACAACATGCTTCGTCAGAGTAGTCCATTTTGTAAAAGTTATTTGACAAGTTAAACGTCAAACTTCGCTTTCCCGCGCTCCGTGGCGCGACTCGACATAGTTACCATCGTCTAACACGTCTCTTGCCTACAAACGACATGTTATTTATATTTCATCCTTATAAGTGTGAACGGTTAAGGCCTAAAAATACTAAAATCGTATGAGTTGATAAAAAAATCAGTTTGTTCATTTTTCTAATATTTATTGGCCCATAATTTGTCCTTAATAATTCACTGATGCTTCTTAGATTATCTTAAATGCGAATAAAACGCTGATGGCAATATAATATAGATAATGCAATTATATTTTTTAAATTACATTAACTTGATAAATAAAATTTTTAAACATTTTGAAGTTCGATGTGACATTTATACTTAGATTGAAGGTTTTTTTAATCACGCTATTTTGAGAAAAAATGGGAAACAAATCATCGACTTGTAGGTATTTATTTTTAAGACGAAGCAAAAATGTTTGTTTTTTGAAAGGAGGGTGGCCATACCAGAAAAATATATATTTTGTGGTACGATTAGGCCTTAATTCGTATAATATTGTAATTATTTACTTTGCCATTACTTCGTACCTAGATTTTAAGAGTGTACATTTTAGGTACCTACCCGTAAATTTTAAGAATTTTTATGTAGTAAAAATAATAATAAAAATGAATTTGAATTTAAGTACAGTTTGTTCGTTTTATTTTTATTTAACTAAATTAGAATTATAAAGAGATAGATTTTAAGTTGTTCTACAAGTAGATTTAAAAAAATGCTTAATCTACATTAAATTTTAAGTCGATAATAAAGATTACAATTAAGCTTGCTAGGTATAAAGGCTCCGATATCCACGTAAATACAGTAAAATAAAATAACACAGCCTTAGATGTGCATTAAAAAGTAAAACAAAATAATTTAGCGTTTAAAAAAAAAACATTTTTTTATGAGTGCCTATGTAAACGAATCATACGGCCTACCCAATGATGAGTGGTTACTAATGGACATCAGCAATGCCAGGGACTAAGCCGAGCCGTCTGATAATGCCAGTTACGAACGAGAATACAAAATAAAGGTTCCGTGTTCAGTTCGTGAGTATAACTATAATTGCTCCTTAGGCTTAGCGATTAAGAAAAGAAAAAAGATTTTATCGTTTTATTGGACACGGACGTTTTCAGTAGGGGGAGTAGTAATGTATTTAATATACCTGTCCTGCTCTATTCGAGGCGATTAGACAGAGCTGTGTCATGTGTGTGTGTAGAGAGTCATGCTCAAGTCCTATTCTTGAATATTTTACGCTAAATTTCGTTTTAATTGTTAAGTTTTACTTGTACGTCAATGCAAGGGCGGATCCAGCTTTGGTGCCAGGAGGGGGTCACATAATCATGGTCAAGTCAAGAACTTATAATTTAATTTTGATAACAATAGATACAAGTAAAAAGTAGGCATTTTTTTAATGTACGTAAGTACTGTACTTAAAAATATTTATTCTTTATTGTACACGAAAAACTTAACACATAATAACTTGTACATATACACGTACATATCGTCATCTTCTCTTGAAGACATCCAGAGAAGCACTATTACGCCCGGAATGAGGCAGCTTATTTATATTCCATAACCGTGGTCCTAAAATCATTATGTTCAATATGTGGTCCACCTAGGTCCTGAAACCAGCTCAGGGGGGGGTCATGGGGGTCATGACCCCCCCCCCTGAATCCGCCCTTGCGAGAATGAGATGCAAAATGAAACGAAGTTGATTAAGACTTTAAATAAATTGAATGAAATTAAATGAAATAAAGTCTCAGTAAAATGATGGTTAATGAATTCGTTTAATTTTGCCATACTCGTTTCACTTTCACAGAAGCACATTGAAACACACAATTAAACATTAACAGAATTAACAAAAAAAAAAAAAAAAACAATTCACACCATTTCGTTCTTCGTGTTCCCGCCAAAAAGTTCTACATATTTATTTTAATGTCGTCGTATCCGTTTCCGTACATGTCCATGTTTATTGATATGATGAATATCTGGTATACAAAATCCCCCACGGCCCTCCTTGAAGCTATAAAAGCGTCATATTACAATAACAATTATTTACAGCGAGCGCGCGAAAATTGTAAAGTGTTCAATACGTCAGAAACAAAATGGCGTCCAATAAAAAAGGCGAGATTAAATTTTAAATGTAATTTTAATTATGCCTTCGACTAAGACATATTAATTGGTCCACTGTTAAAAGAACAATGAAGGCTTTGTGGCCCTCGCTTCACATTGTACGACCAGAATACTTGGAAATGTTAAGTATGTACATTGTTGAACGATCTAGTATCGCTAAATTTCATATCCTTTACGGAGATCTTGTAGCTGGGAACGGTGACCGCGCGATTCTCCTCCTCGATAATGTTCACACTCCTGGAAACGTAAAAATCTAACTTATATTAACTTATTTTTAGGACCTCTAGTGAGTCCGCGCGAGTAGGTACCACCGCCCTGCCTATTTCTGCCGTGAAGCAGTAATGCGTTTCGGTTTGAAGGGTGGGGCAGTCGTTGTAATTATAGTTGATACCTTAGAACTTATATCTCAAGGTGGGTGGCGCATTTACGTTGTGGATGCCTATGGGTTCCAGTAACCACTTAACACCAGGTGGCCTGTGAGCTCGTCCACCCATCAAAGCAATAAAAAAAAACCGTCAATTAGACTGGCACAGATTTAAGTGAACAGTGCTTTTGGTCTAACAACGCCCATAATTATATTCAATAGATAGTTATGCAGCTAATTGCTATTGCTGAATTCCATTAACGACCGTGAACACTTATGGCCATATGGTTGCTCTTTTGCCAACATTTAAAAAAAAACATTGATAAAAGTATGATTGTAGAATGTAGAAGCGTTAGTGCAGGGAGTCGTTTAGAGGGTTGGGCCCTAAATTCCATCCATAGGGTCCACGGTCCGCTTCAAAAATATGCGAACCAGTCCCCCATATCTCACTTCCCCCCTAGGCGCTGGAACCTCGTAGGAGGTTTGACCCCCGGCCCAAAAAAAAGCTATAATTTTAGAAGTAATTTTCAACAACATATACTAGTTAATTCCTATGTCACAAAAACTAATTTACTACTACTTTACTACGCGACTATAAATTTTAAATCGTATTTTATGAGTAACAATACGGAACAATAATTACTGTATACATTAACAATGAACAAAGAATCAAATAATATTCCTAGGAACCAAACGAATGATTCAACTGTAAACATTAACATTATTTGAAATGTTGTGATAATAATTTTAAATTATACTACTATATATAGCACATGCAACAATGTCATTAGTCTTCTTTCTGTTAGTGTTTCTTGATAAGAATATAAAGAGATATGAGGTCGGAAAGTCAATAGCACGAGCTTTTCTTCCTTCTGATAACAGCTTATACAGTTTGTCGATGTTATAGCCCACTTACTGCTAGGCAGATAGCAGCACGTAGATACGTCTATAAGTAAATTAAGATAGACGTCACTATCCCGGTCACCGTTCTCGACGAACCCGTCGCTTGCAACGAAGGGCTCAGCTAGTAAATTAAAACACAGCCCACTGAGTTTCTCGCCAGATCATCTCAGTGGGTCACGATTCCGATCCGGTGGTAGATTCTGCGAAGCACTGCACTTGCTAGGGCTAGTGTTAGCCACGTCTTCGGGTTAGAATCCCGTGAGCTCACCTACTAGCTCGGTGACGCTGGCTCTTCTAAGACTACCAGCTTAGACAAGTGGTATGGCGTCGTGTATAGATATTTTTCACCACTTTTTCCAAACCAATACTATGACGAGCAACGCTGAATCGTATTCACAACAGATAATCTACGACCAAACCGTCGGTGTTGACAATAAATCATTGCACATTTAAATTGATAAAAACTCACCTTTTAAATCGAGACGCATCAAGAAAGAAATCGTTCGCGTCATCGTAATACTCATCCTTGTATTTACTTTGAATATCTTCGTTGAATATGAACTCATTAAAATCCAGTTCAGTGCAGTTTTCTGGACAGTCTATGATCGGGAAGATCGAGGGTCCTTCGAAGAAATCGTGGTTGGATTTAGGCTCAAACTCTTTTTCTTTTTCATTAAAATCCTCCGTCAAACGATCGGTGGGGTTTTCGACAACTGCTTCTCCATTATACTCCTTAACCACTCCTGCTGTGTTACCAAAATCAATGGTTTCAATTCGACTTAAGCCGTCTTCAATATTCTTGGGGCTCCTTGGTTTTAACACATCGCGTGACTCGGCTTTACTGTCAGATTCATTATTGCTTCCTTTTAAAACATTATTAGCATTATCATCAATAATAGTTTCAGTCTTATTCACTTCTCGATTCATGTTCAATTGTGTTTGAAGACCGCGATCGATGACAGCTGCATTTGCGACTAATCCAAACACACATATAAGTATCTGTAAATAAAATAAAAAAAACAATTTTGTTAGTTATTCATTTACTAGCTGACCCGGCAGACTTCGTAGTATCTCAATCGATAAATAAAAGACCTAAGCTTTTGTATAAAATAAACTTAAAACAAACAAAAGGAATCCGTCCGACGGGGGACACATCAAAGGAAAAACAAAATTGTTATTTTTATTTCATTCCGAGCATTTTCATATTTATCTACCTTTTAAACCTTCTCTGGACTTCCACAATTAATTCAAGACCAAAATTAGCCAAATCGGTCCAGCCGTTCTCGAGTTTTAGCGAGACTAACGAACAGCAATTCATTTTTATATATATATAGATAAATAGAAGATTTAACTTTATGCATCAGAGTACAGTGGTGAACTTAATAAGGGTTTCTGTACCAGTCACCCAAGAGTGGTGTAGAAAGCGCTCTTTGAGATCGTTGGAGCATCGGGTCGAGGACCGGAAGAGCATTGACTGAAAATATATATGTAAATATACAAAACACACGCGGTATACATACAAACACATAACATACAATATTATACCATAATATAACTCTCAATTTATACATTCATGTACTCACACATATGTATATAATACTTATAGGTCCACAAAACATATTATTACTACATTATATTCAGACAAAAATACACATAGTAGTTATATTGTACAGAAAATTCCAACACTTAATAAGATTGCAAGTTTCGCTATGAGATTTTCCTGCTAATTCGTTCAGGAGTTACCGAACCGTTGTTTTAAAGCTAGGCTATCATTAAGAGGAACTGAATTCCAAAACTGAAAAGATTGAACTAGATAATTCGAACACACCAAACTAGAGTTGTGCGTATTAAATGAATGAATGAATGATTTATTTTATTTCAGACAACAACAACAAGTCCATATTATGTGTACATAGTAACATTGAAACATACTTAAAATTACCAAAAACAATCAAATAAAAAATATACATTTATTAAAAATAATTAAAATAATTATCAGTTGAATACATTTCAAATATTCCATTCAACTGATACTTACTTCGAACCAACCATTATTATTATTATTATTTTAATTTAGTCCGCAAGTGAACCATGGTACAATGGTTCAAGTACCTACAGTCATAACGGTCCCTTGATGCTAATTAATTAATGTTAATTTATTTTGCGATGCATCGATACCACAGGTGTATAACTATATCTATACTAGTATTATAAAGCTGAAGAGTTTGTTTGTTTGAGCGCGCTAATCTCAGAAACTACTGGTCCGATTTTAAAAATTCTTTCAGTGTTAGATATCCCATTTATCACGGTAAGAAGAATTCAAGTGGAACACTAATAAAGAATGTTTCAAAATAAGGGTTTAAATAGCTCCTTAACATTCTACAAAACTTCAAAAATATTTTTACTTTTTTTTTTATTGCTTAGATGGGTGGACGAGCTCACAGCCCACCTGGTGTTAAGTGGTTACTGGAGCCCATAGACATCTACAACGTAAATGCGCCACCCACATTGAGATATAAGTTCTAAGGTCTCAAGTATAGTTACAACGGCTGCCCCACCCTTCAAACCGAAACGCATTACTGCTTCACGACAGAAACAAGCAGGGTGGTGGTACCTACCCGCGCGGACTCACAGTTCTACGTAAAGTGGGGAGTAAAATTTAGCGTTATGCCAAAGTAACTATTACATGCGGACGGAGTCGCGGGCAAAAGCTAGTTATTCTTAAAAGAATTACTCGTAAATAAAAAAAAAAGTTTAACTTCCTGCTTACAATTTCGTAGGCAAAGGCCTAATATTTAAAATACCGTGTCAAATATGAGGGAGGAATTGGGCCCGTCAGTATGGAGCTAAGTGTAGTGAGAGCATGTAGATTGAGACGCTGAGGTTATGGGAGAAAAGTTATTTGAGGGTGATAAGTAGAAACGTGGTCATACTTGCAGTGTTGAATTTACACTAGGGGCAGTCGGGACAAGTGACTAGGGCGGCAAAATTTAGAAAGTAAAAAAAAAATGTTTTTGGTCTTATCAACATTGCTTAACATTACTTACAAAATTAATTAATTCTATTAATTAATGATTTTCTGTTTAATTGATTAATTCAAGAAATTCTATTAATCCATTATTTGTGAATTATAATTCTGGCACATTTGGTAAAAATTAATAATCAAAGTGATTTAATCAACTTATTTCCTTGGAGATTTAAAATAATAATCGATTTTTTCTATTTTCTGGAAATAAAGAAATTTAATTAGTTTTTTTTTTTTTGATGTAATATAATTATGAATTACCCTTGGTGCCAAAATTGTTAGATATTTTTTTTTTTTTTTAATATATAACAAAGTTTCCGCGATAAATCAGTTATTTTAATTTTGAAAAATAAAATATATGAACTATAAGTTTAAGTAAAGTTCCAGTATTGGGGCGGATTTTTTTCCGATTCCCAGGAGTGGCGTTAAGTTTAAATCCGACTCTGCATACTTGCGTATATTAAAACATTATTATTGATTGTACTTCAATTTTTTAACTGATTGGCATGAAATTTTCTTTATATATTTTATACTAATCGTCGATTCTTGAATTTCTTAACGGCACTAGACTCAATTTCCGATTACACAAGCCGAACTTAAAATTACAAAGCTGTTTAGTTAAAATCTGTGAATCATATTAAACGGTCGAAATTAATTATTAGATGACAAGAGCCAATGGCATTTATTAGATAATACTAATTGCGTGAGTTTATTCAACTTTCAGCGATTAGGTAGGTACCTATTGACTTTATTTGAAGTCGTCGTGGCCTAAAGGATAAGACGTCCGGTGCATTCGTATGTAGCGATGCACCGGTGTTCGAATCCCGCAGGCGGGTACCAATTTTTCTAATGAAATACGTACTTAAGAAATCTTCACGATTGACTTCCACGGCGAAGGTATAACATCGTGTAATAAAAATCAAGCCCACAAAATTATAATTTGCGTAATTACTGGTGGTAGGACCTCTTATGAGTCCGCACGGATAGGTACTACCACCCCGCCTATTTCTGCCGTGAAGCAGTAATGCGTTTCGGTTTGAAGGGTGGGGCAGCCGTTGTAACTATACTGACACCTTAGATTTCATATCTCAAGGTGGCTGGCGGTATTTAGGTAATAGATGTCTATGGGCTCCAGTAACCACTTAACACCAGGTGGGCTGTGAGCTCGTCCACACACCATGTGCAATAAAAAAATGTATTTATCATTATTTCAAAACAGTTTATGGATCTGAGCGTGACATTGAGTGAAACCATAGTATACCTACTTAATTTAGAACTGAATACAAACAATATTTTAAATAAATAAATAAATAAAACTCACCACAAAATGCATTTTGAAACACACCGCATCCAACGAAGGATCAGTTAGGACTGAGCTTCGTTCAAACAACGTTAAGTCAGGAATGAATTACTGTAATTTTACGTTCATTATCGGTAATTGATCATTACCCAATCGACTATGAGCAGACTAGTTAGTTCGTCATGTCGTGCGAATGTCGTGTTAATTATCTACAATAGTAGTTTATTTAGGGAGTTACTGGTATAGCGCCTGGGCTTGTAGCTGGTGACCACATCTCTGTACTACTTCGTTACTATATACCGGATGTCCCCGAAAGAATGGATAATCCTGAAACACCTCATAGTAGAGCTATTGGGGACACAAAATAAAAATATCAAGTAGTACCCAAATTACGTATTTTAAAAAATATATAATAATATATTTTCCGTACTGCTGTGCGTTTCTGGAATATACCACAGCTACAAATAAATGAAATCCATAGGCTTTTTGGTATTATAATATTCTACATGGACTATATAGGGGAATATGCAGGAAATCGTATGAGTACTTAGTGTAATTTTTTATAAAAGTTAATCTGAACTTAAATTTTAATCATGAAATTTGGTATTTTTTATTTTGAGTCCCCAATAGCTCTACTGTAAGGTGCTTCAGGATTATTCATTCTCTCTGGGACACCCTGGAGTATTTCCACTTTCGGGTAGCGACATGGTGAGCGGGCGGTCTTCGTAAGTCAATAAAACCAGAAATGAACTCAGAGCGTATATTACGCAGGAGCGCTCCGTCCGACACGGCGACTCGCTCGCTTCTGAGCTCGAGAGACAACAACGGAGCGTTTTTATAGCAAGGTATCGTGGTGGGACGATGTTGTTTACGATTCTTATCTTGCACGTGTTGTTTTCGATGAATGCTTGCACCTGTTGTTTGTCGTCCCATCTTTATTAGTCATAANCCAGAAATGAACTCAGAGCGTATATTACGCAGGAGCGCTCCGTCCGACACGGCGACTCGCTCGCTTCTGAGCTCGAGAGACAACAACGGAGCGTTTTTATAGCAAGGTATCGTGGTGGGACGATGTTGTTTACGATTCTTATCTTGCACGTGTTGTTTTCGATGAATGCTTGCACCTGTTGTTTGTCGTCCCATCTTTATTAGTCATAAACTAGTGGTTTATAAAAACACGCGCCGACATATATACATAAATTTAGTAATTTAGTCCATATATGGCGTATTTTAGGCCGAAACGAAATCACGACTTATATGCTTAGAAGTTACCGGCCCTCAAATGCCTCCGAGACTGTTTTTTATGATTAAAAGCTTACTGGTGGCCCGGAAGCCTTTCCAGTTTCACCAGGACAGGTGGGCGAGCAAAGGCTCAGCCAGAAGGGGTGGGATTTGCTAACAGCTGCCTGAGCGCCTCCGAAGGAGCCCTAACAACTCAAGAGTAGCTGCTGCGTGAATGAATCTACTACCGGCTCGGAATCGTGACCCGCTAAGAACAAGAAACTCAGCGGGCTAATGCATGGGTTAAGTTGCACATCGAACTCTTTGTCGAGTTCGACGAGTACGGTTTCCGGGGTTCCTAAGCCTTATCCGAGACGGATTACTGTTTGGCACCAAAATAGGCGGGGCGGTGCTATCTACCCGTGCGGGTAATATCGTAAAAACCATGTAAAAACCCGTCAAATTTTTGTAAGAACATTTAGTATCAATCATTTAATTTTTGGATGAGTGGGTGATTAACCCTCTGCACCCTAGGTTTCTAGTAGGGCTGCCACTTTTGAGTGCGAAACCTCACTCCGTTATGTATCGGGTATCGTCCCTACCGAGTTCGGATCGGTTTTAAGGCGCCGGCCACTGGAGCGCGACCTCAAAAATATCGGCGTCAAGAACTGGAAGGAGAAAGCCCTGAACAGAGCAGTCTGGAGAGACATACTGGACCAGGCTGAGGCCCACCCTGGGCTGTGAGGCCTAAGATGATGATGATGATTTAGTATCAAGCACTAACATTATATTTCCCCTGAAAAGCAATCATGCGTTCGTTTGAAGATCTTGTGCGTTCTTGTAGCACTTTAGGGGCGAATCTCAAAATCATGCTGAGGTTACAATAGAGATAGACCCAAGACAAGTTGGAAAGATGTAGTGCTGAAGGACGAAAGGAAATGCAATATTGCTGACGAGGATGTCGAAGACAGAGCGAGGTGGAGGAGTAGAATAAGGAAAGGTGACCCTACCACCATGTACGATAAACAGCTAGGAAGAGAGAGAGTTACAATCCCGCGAGCAGATACCATATCTTTTCCAAAATATGCACGTTCTTGTCTTTACAAACGACATCCACGATGAAGGTATCGGTAAGGTATAATATCTGGGACATAATGAAATGATTCAATTGAATAAAAAAAATCGCATCTCTATTATAAGAGAAACAATAGACAGATTGTCAATTATCCCATTCTCACGGATCGCTTGGAACCTCTGGGTCTGCGGAGGGACTTCGGTTCCCTCTGTATTTTGTACCGTATGTTCCATGGGGAGTGCTCTGAGGAATTGAAATGATTCCATCATCTCTTTTTTACGTTACGTTCATGGGCAGTTTTTTTTATCGGTTAAATGGGTGGATGAGCTCACAGCAAACCTGGTGTTAAGTGGTTTAAGAATATGCGAAGCACTGCTCTTGCTAGAGCTAATGTTAGCAAATTCTCTCAGGTTGAGCTTACCTACCCGTCCGGGGGTAGCTGGAATAGCCTCTTAGGCTACTAACGAATAAGTAGGAAAAAAGTATGACTTAGGCTTTATTATTACAATTTATATACTCTTTATTTATATACTCTTACAATTTATTTCTCATACACGTCCTTATAATCATTTCAATAAATAAATTATTTATTTAACCTTTCCACTACACATTTTCAAAACCCAATTCAAATTGAACTCAGACCCAAATAAGTCGCAGCACACAATGTTAACTTAGCAATCCGGTCACTTCGAATGGTGGTAAATGTGGAATGACTTGCCTAAAGTGCTCCACTGTGCAGCAGAAGCAGATTCCCTCAGATTTTGTTCTAGGACTCCAAGTCAACCATGAAAATTGGGTGTTATTAGCGCATTGATCAGAGCAAAAGATCATCACGCTCTCTCTACTGACGGAACTGTAAAATGGATTGTTGATTCCGACAAATGCTGTACCGCGCTTAGAGCTCGGCTCGTATACGACTTTGTAGAAATATAGCGGTACCGGTATCAGCGGATTGTTGTTTACGTCGTCGTAAAGATGCACGTCCACCGTACTCCCAGAGCTGTTGAGTAGCTCCATCACGCCATACGTGCCGGTGTACATAACGGTGTCATAGCCGGCTGCGTGGACGCGGTTCCTCAAATCCACTTCCAAAGTGTTCCAATTTCCGCTATTGAAACCGTACCACTGCGGGGCGCAGTTGACATAATGAAAGGACGCTCTCTCCCCGAACGCGTATACGAAATCGGTTTTAGCTGCTAAATGTCCTCTAGACAGAAATGATTCGGCGGTAATGTAGTCATTGGCGGCGTGTCCGCCGACACGTTTTCTAACAGCAGCCTCTAAGCCTCTAGGCGAGAATAGTTTGAACACAGACAAGTGACGATACGCGTCGTCTTCAACGAAGTAGGGCCGTTCGACGTGTTGCTGGAACTGAGCGTTATAAGGCTTCTGCGTGTAAACAGAATAAAGGGGGGTGAGACGCCACTCGTCGAAGCAGGTTTCGTAAATTGGGTAGAAATCGTCGCGGACTGGGTAGCCGACTTCAAAAATCTTGTTATTATTGTGACAGGTCCGATTCGTACGCTTGCTCTTGTATACCGGGGGAATATCACACGAGAAAAATAAGAAGCTAGAGGGCGCTGTGATCCAATCGTTGTTCGTAAACGTATCACCGCCCTGGCACGTGACCGTCGCAACTTCAAAATGCTTGTTCGCGTTTGGATGCCTCACTCTCGACTCTCCGCAGCTTAAAGTCAGAGTTTCCCCATTGTCTATTTCAACGTTTCCGTATTTGTCTGTGGGCTCTAGGAGCCTGCCATTGCGAATAATTACAGGGAGAGGCTGGCCGAAGTCTCGTCTTGAATTCAAAATGCATCTTTGTCCAGGTTTTATGTTAAACACGCACAATATCATCATCAGATATTTTAGGATCATAATTAATTTATTGATTCATTGGTTTATTTGTATTTAGTTTAGCTATATCTCGTTGGATACTTGAAGATTTTGTTATTTTAATCTAAATTTCTTTTTTTATGCATTTGAAATTACTTTACGAGAATTTTTTTTGACGCATGTCATAAATGTCAATGTCAAAATGATGAAGGATTTACCATAGACCTTACTCCAATGGGATTTACATATTAAATTGGTAAATTGCATAGACCTTTAAACATACTTCAGTGGTAAATTGCAGTAAATTGATGTTTTTGGTTTAGTTTTTCAAATTTTTTGAACTAGGTAGTTTAATGGACGTGGACTTCTCGATTCGCCACACAATTAATTTAGTTTTATTTATTTTTCATATGGTATTTCTGAAATAAAGATTTGTTATTATTATTATACTATGTTTATTTGAAATCTTATTAATTATAAAAATTTTTTTAAAAGGTATCAAAAATATTTTTTTTTAAAACACTAACTTTAAAAAAAATAGATTGACGGTGATGGCGCATTGCGGTAGTCTCGTGGGCCAGGTTTGTATATTTTATTAATTTGTCCTTTTCTTTTTCTTTTCTTCTTTTTTACTTTTTTTTACTTTTTCCTTTGGTTTCCTTCTTTTTCTTTTTATTTTTATTATTATATAAGACCTGAAGTTGGATTGATTGATTAGACTGAATACTGATCTTAAAAATGTACGTGTCTAGTCTTGATAAGGCCACCGTTATACTTTTTTTTTTAAGAGGCCAGCACCAAACACTCACGCAGTGTACAATTATCATCACGTAGAGATTATTTTTCAAGTGATCGCAATTATATTTTTAAACACGTTTCATATTATTTGTATGAAGCCAAATTATTGTGCAAAAATAGGTTGGTAGGCCTATTTTTATTTTTAAACGAATTTATTTTAACAAACGTGTAGTGTTCACGAATGCTCATAGTGGCTAGAAAGGCTAGTTAATTTGTCAGCGTTCAAGGTGTCAGACGTTTTTTTTTTAAAAAAAAAGGATTCTTCTGAATTAAGCAATTGGCAATCTAATTGAAATCCCAGTAGATAATTTTCCACAAGACATGACCAATTTCAAGAGCATTTTTTCCGGTCTGGGGCTGAACCTCCTTCGAGGTCCCCGCGTCTATGGAGCGCGCGGCTTATGTCGAACTGGTCCGCGACTGCCAACCGCGGGCCCAAGGACGGCAAACCTGGTGTTAAGTGGTTACTGGAACCCATAGACATCTACAATGTAAATACCGCCACCCAGCTTGAGATATTATTATGAGTTCTAAGGTCTCAGAATAGTTACAACGGCTGTCCCATCCTTCAAACCGAAACGCATTACTGTTTGACGGCAGAAATAGGCAGGGTGGTGGTACCTACCCGTGCGGACTCACTCACAAGAGGTCCTTCCTACCACCAGTAGTTACACAAATTATAATTTTGCGCGTTTTTTTATTTTTATTACACGATGCTATTCCTTCACCGTGGAAGTCAATCGTGAACATTTATGAAGTACGTATTTCATTAGAAAAATTGGTACCCACCTGCGGAATTCGAACACCGGTGCATCGCTACATACGAATGCACCGGACGTCTTATCCTTTAGGCCACGACGACTTCAATGTGGAACGTTTTAAAATAAATATATAAACATACATATTTCCTCTCAAATTCCATTGGACACGTCTAATTTGTTATAAAATATTATTTTCATCGCTATTATGCTGACACGGTCGCGTAGTCTACAATACGCGAAGGTCACGGAAGAATTTGCTGAGAATGTGACAAAAATTCTGATGCACGTTACTAATTGGATAATAAATAAATAAATCATTATTACTAGTGCGATTATGGAATTCTTTCCCTCAACCTATTCGTGCTAATTTTAAAGTTTTTAAGAGTCCATTTTTTTTTTATTCCTTAGGTGGATGGACGAGCTCACAGCCCACCTGATGTTAAGTGGTTACTGGAGCCCATAGACATCTACAACGTAAATGCGCCCCCCACCTTGAGATATAAGTTCTAAGGTCTCAGTATAGTTACAACGGCTGCCCCACCCTTCAAACCGAAACGCATTACGCTTCACGGCAGAAATAGGCAGGGTGTTACCTACCCGTGCGGACTCACAAGAGGTCCTACCACCAGTAAAAAATGAAGAAACATTTCCTGTCACTTTAATTCTATTTATGTTATTGTTTTATGTATGTTTATTTATAAGTATATGTATTTTGCATCTTATATTAGATATATTACGTATTTATTTGTGTCATAATGGTTGTGTTTTTTTTTTTGAACCTTAATTTAACAGTCATGCTTTAATACCTTTTATATTGTACACTATTCCCTTCCTATACCTACATCGTATTACTCTCTGCTAATGGTTTGCTTTAAGAAAACTCATGAATGAGTTAAGCTCGCCTTTGTACATAGTATTTAGACATTCTTTTAAATCTGTTTTTGTTGTATTTTTTTTTTGTGTTCAATAAGTATAAATAAATAAACAAATATAATTTGGACCTTCAACTTTGCTGGTAAAATAAGAAGGAACTATATTGTAATTATCGATGTCGGTAACGGAGAATATTATAAATCATTAATGATTAATAAACTAAATAAATAAAGGATAAGACGTCCGGTGCATTCGTACCGAGCGATGTGTGTGTGTGTGTGTTGTTCGAATACCGATTTATTTCAATGAAATACGCACTTAACCAATGTTCACGATTGACTTACACGGCGAAGGAATAACATAATAAAAATCAAACGTGTAAAGACTATAATGCGGGCTTTTTATGGGCCTGCATGGGTAGTTTTTTTTTTATTGCCCTTGTAGGCAGACGAGCATACGGCCCACCTGATGGTTAGTGGTTACCGTCGCCCATGGACTTCAGCAATGCCAGGGGTAGAGCCAAGCCGCTGCCTACCGCTTAATACTCTCCACAAGCCTCGTTTGAAGAAGGACATGTCATAGCGCTCGGGAAACATCGTGAAGGGGAGCTCATTCCATAGCCGGATGGTACGTGGCAAAAAAGACCTCTGGAAACGCCCTGTCGATGAGCGCAGCGGTTCCAGATGATACCGTCAACCAACCTATTTCTGCCGCCAAGCAGTCATCCATTCTGCTTTGAAGGGCACGGTAGCCGTTGTACTATAGAAATAAGTCTTTGAACTCATGTCTGAGATATTTATGTTGGTGATGTCTATTGACTCCTACGTAATACCAGGTAACTACTTATTAAAGGTTGAGCAGTGAGATCTTCGCCAGTCTAAGCATTAAGAAAAATAGATGTCAGATCTTTACTGGTGGTAGGACCTCTTGTGAGTCCGCACGGGTAGGTACCAACACCCCGCCTATTTTTGCCGTGAAGCAGTAATCCCTTTCGGTTTGAAGGTTGAGGCGGCCGTTGTAACTATACTGAGACCTCAGAACTTACATTTCCAGGTAGGTGGCGCATTTACGTTGTAGATGTCTATGGGTTCCAGTAACCACTTAACACCAGGTGGACTGTGAGCTCGTCCACCCATCTAAGCAATAAAAAAATCAAGAGCCTATATATCTACCGGCAATAGCACTCCAAGGTAATGACGACCATGACCGTGAAAATCCACCGACATCCAAATAGCACATATAAGAGAAACGACTTGAGGACTCCCTGGCTGCGATCACCGCATCACGGAGCGCAATTAGTGAATCTGTTCAAACATCATTAGTAAAATACGGCTACCAGACCAGTCGGACACAATTCAGATTGAATCGAAGCTCGTATGTGTCGCAGTTTCTCTGTGACTCAGACCTATATGAGAGCGGCGGGAACACGGACGTGTTGGTTTTGAATAATCGTAACAAATATATAATAAATGTTTATATTCATAACACTCTTTGTCCGAGAGCTCTGTAAACAATCACACGTGAAAACAAGCACAATGACGAACAAATTTGTAAGTAATTTTATAAATATTAATTTACTAGCTTTTGCCCGCGACTCCGTCCGCGTGGAATAGTTATTTTGGCATAACGCTAAATTTTACCAAACCTCATTTACGTAGAAAGTGAAAATATTTTTGAATTATTAGAATGTTAAGGAGTGTTAAGGAATGTTAAGTGTTAAATGCTGGGAGTCCTCAACAGAGCGAAGAGGTACTTCACGCGTGGACAAAGACTTTGCTTTATAAAGCACAAGTCCGGCCTCGCGTGAAGTGCTGCTCCCATCTCTGGGCCGCTGCTCCCAAATACCAGCTTCTTCCATTTGACTCCATACAGAGGAGGACCGTTCGGATTGTCGATAATCCCATTCTCACGGATCGTTTGGAACCTCTGGGTCTGCGGAGGGACTTCGGTTCCCTCTGTATTTTGTACCATGGGGAGTGCTCTGAGGAATTGTTCGAGATGATACCGGCATCTCGTTTTTATCATCGCACCGCCCGCCACCGGAGTAGAGTTCACCCATACTACCTGGAGCCACTGCGGTCATCCACAGTGCGTTTCCAGAGATCTTTTTTGCCACGTACCATCCGGCTTTGGAATGAGCTCCCCTCCACGGTGTTTCCCGAGAGCTATGACATGTCCTTCTTCAAACGAGGCTTGTGGAGAGTATTAAGCGGTAGGCAGCTGCTTGGCTCTGCCCCTGGCATTGCTGAAGTCCATGGGCGACGGTAACCACTCACCATCAGGTGGGCCGTATGCTCGTCTGCCTACAAGGGCAATAAAAAAAAAGGTGCCATTTAAACCCCTATTTTGAAAAATTCTTTATTGGTGCTCCACTTTTATTGGTCTTACCGTGATGTTACAATAAATAATACTCAATAAATGGGCTATCACACACTGAAACAATTTTTCAAATCGGACCAGTAGTTCCTGAGATTAGCACGTTCAAACAATTAGTTCAAACAAACAAACTCGTCAGCTTTATAATATTAGTATAGATGTCACAGCTAATGGTTGTGAAATAAGAATACGCGGGCCATGAGACAGGAATTATGGTGATATCTGACCGTGCCGTCTTCAAATATGTCCTACCATCGGTATTTACATAAACTTACTAAACTTTTACTAAAACTTACAAAACTTTTAACTGGTGGTAGGGTTCTGTGTAGAAGCCCGCCCGGGTTGGTACCGCCACCGTCCTGTCTATTTCTGCCGCAAAACAGTAATACTGTGTTCCGGTCTGAAGGACAGGATAGCCGGTGTAACATACATAAGGCTGCCCATCCAGGCCAGGATAGGCAGCGCATCTCAGTCACTGATGTAGTTTGGATGTCTATGGGCGACGGTTATCATTTCCCATCAGATGAGCCGTAAGCTCGTCTGCCTACCGAAAGCAATAAAAAAAAAAAAAAAAATTGTGGTTTGATTTTCGGTACCCGATGTTATTCGTTAATTCCGGTAGTAGCATTTTCTTAGAGAAATGTGAATTGCCAGTGGTATTTGAACTCCGGCTACTCACATCAATTGACCCGGTTACACCGGCTATCTTATTCTTTACGCCACGAGAGAACTAAACGTCAGAAGATATATATATATATATCAAATAGGTACCCAAATTCCATGCACATGGATTCATCTAATCAAATTCAAGCTCACAAAATATTGAAAACGTATTTCATCGCGGTTTTGAGGCTTAGACGATGCCCGCCTGGGTACGCACCATTGCCGCAATGAACTTTTTCCTACCTAATCGTTGTTAGCCTAAGGGACTATACCAATTACGCGCGGACCGGTAGGTGAGCTCACGGGGTCAATCTGAGAGAACTTGCTAACACTAGCCCTGGCAAGAACAGTGCTTCGCTGAATCTACCACCGCGTCGGGACCTACCATCGCGACCCACTGAGAAGAGCCAGCAAGAAACTCAGTGCGCTGTGTCGATGGACTAGATTGGAAAGCCTAAAAGCACCAATAAGAACTGCTTAAGACGACGTCGTCTGGGATGGTTATATAACTAAAAGCGGCCACGATAAGGGGGTTATCGTGTCGCTCGAAATTTTTTAAGAAATCTTAATTCTTTATTGTACACACAGATAATACAATACAATAATTGCGAAAAGTTATAAAATGGCGAGCTTAACTCAACAATTGAGTTATCTACCAGCTAACCGTTCTTAAAGAGGGAGAGCTTTACATAAGTGGGTAGAAGAGTATAATCTAATCAATTTACTTATTGATACAATACACAATAACAATAATAATTATAAAAAAAAATCTAATACATAATATATCAGACTATATACTTAAACAATTACACACTTAAATAACATAAACATACACGTCCATATATAATGAAATACATAAAATAAAGACATATAAGTAATACTAAATCGATAGATAGTGCTCCTTTAATCCCTTCCTGAATACTTAAGCAGTCTTAAATCCTAGTTTGAGAGGTGGGACAGTTCTTATTTAACTTTTATATACGAAATTATAGACCTACTAGCTGTACCCGTCCGCTTCGCTGGGCATTTAAAATTAACATTATTATTTCTCGCCCCCACAAATATTCTCATAATTAACGCCCCCGTAACTGGTGTAGGGAGTCCAACACTCATATAAATATTACCCTATCCATTAAGTATATGTATTTTCTACATGGATACCAAGTTTCAAGTCAATCGGATGCATGGTTCAGTAGTTACAACGGAACATCCGAAAATCCACTGTAGTTTTATATATTAGTATAGATGTTTAATGATGGGACGAATATTTTTTTCTATACTATTATAATAGGCAACGGTTTGGCTGTGTCCCTTTTTATTGTCTAGGTGTGACGGTAACCACTCACCATCAGATGCTGCTTATGAGCAGTTGGCCCCTGAAAATTCAACACATATTTATAACGTTTTTATTTACTATTTCAGATTCTATTACTATTTTGGTTAACCATCATAGTATTACATGATTTCACAAATGCATTATGGATACCACAGATCCGGCAGAATACTATGAATACAAATAATGAATATGTTAATAACAATATGAACTCCCGAGAGCCGTCCGAAGATTACAGAAAGTACAATTATTTGATTACTACTTATCTGTAAATTAGCACAGGGCACTGAACTAAGTGTGGAATTAAATTGATAGGTGGTCTGTAAGCGTCAATATAATGTAACAATGTAAAGAATGATAAAAACATTGAACGTTTAATCTACTTTATATACCGGAACATTGATACATATATTTTGTATGTAATTAAATCTACTTTTACGGTTTTAGTATCCCATTTTTTTATGTCATTAAATCGAAAGGAAAGGTTATATGGTTTAAGCGAAATTTTGCAATTTTATAGAAGAACCATTTAAAGCTTAAGCTTTAAACATACTTCTTCGGCTATTTGAATGGAGTAAGCTTAATTGAAGTTCAGCTAAAAACATTGAACTGTTGATGCTAATACCAAATAAAAGGTACCTTATACCACATATCCTTTCACCTCTCGATACGTATTCAATTTGATTCACAGATTAATTAATTATGATTTGATTCAGCTATTTCGCACAGCACATAGACTATCACTACATGGTATAAAACAGTCGCTTTCCTGTCCCTATATTCCTATGTATGCTTAAATCTTTAAAACTACGCAACGGATTTTGATGCGGTTTTTTTAATAGATAGAGTGATTGAAGAGGAAGGCTTATACGTATTATAACATCCATTAAATAGTGGAGAAATCAATAATAAATTACAGTTTCCAAAGCGAAGCGAGGGCCGGTCCCTAGTAATAGATATTAGACGCATCACAGATTAGAGTTAACGCTACAAGTTAAGCTGCTAACAAGAACTCTGCGCAGACCATCGCTTTGGTTAAAACAATTCAAACTGTATCGTCTTGCCCATTTTGTAAATACTGTGATACTGGTATTATAGATGCCATCAACTGGATTGCTAACAACAGCTGTAATAAAAGTATCAACACAATCAGTTGAACGACCTAAATGGATAGAATAAATTTAAATATACGGAAACAATGTTTTTTTAAGCTATTGCATAGCTTTAATCACGGGCTTTGAGCGTGGCACCCGAATCAAGAAGATTCCATAACGAAAATAAAACCTAACACCCCCACTCCGCTTACCATGTAGCTCGCGTTCAACACATTCATACGTTGTGCTTGTGTAGTGTTTGTGAATAAGCGCGCGGCGTTACGTTGCACTGCATGCGCATCATGTAAAGTTTGCCCATCTCTCTCTCGCGCGGTCTACCTTATGAGTGTGAGGGGGACAGTTAATGTTTTGCTTTTGTTAATGTTTATAAATATAGCGTGGTCTTATTTTATTATTGTTTTAATATTAAATTATTATTGTCTAATTATAATTGCATAAGATGATAAAAAATGCTATGCAATAGCTTTACCACGACAGTCCCCGAGTTCCACATGTGTGTTTTTTTAATTAGAATAGTTTGGGGAAACACATTATAAAAAGAAAACAATAAATTAAGAATCCACAAAATATTTAAAGGGAAGATTTCTGATGAATCATGTTATTTTTAATAGCCTATCATCATATAGGTACTTTTTAATTGACTTCGAAAAATCGATTCTCAATTACCTATAAGTAAGTTTCTGTTAAAAAATCCCTTATAATTAAGTTTTACGTGTTTTTGTTATAAATTATGTAGATATAACTTTACATCATAGGCATTGAAAGTTACCATTTTTTAATTAGTTGTTTTTTTGTAACTATATGTCAAACTAATTCATAAATGTAGTGCAATTCCAGATCAGATTTTGTAAGAGAATCCGCAACATATAACAAATTTTGTACACGACTAACTTTCTTAAATGAAACCAAAAATATAAGAAACTAGCGGCCCGTTCCGGCTCCGCTCGGGTCGTCAACAAAAATTTCAAGGACGTTGTTTTACTTTTTTAAATAAAATAACACTTATTACGGCATAACTATAATAGTTAGACATATGCTGTCGCGACACTTTTTGTAAAAATATAATGTGTTCTACAAAGTCGTAGTACATTATTTAATCTATCATCAATAGTTTTCGCAGGGCACGCGGTGTAAAAAATATTTTAGATATTTTTTTATACCTTGGGTTACATTATTGGAGTTTTAGTGAGGATCCCTAATTTTTTTCAAAAAAGATTATAGCCTATGTCACTCGGGAATAGTGTAGCTTCCAAACAGTGAAAGAATTTTCAAATCGGCTCAGTAGTTACGAAGCCTATTCAATACAAACAAACAAACAAATCTTTCCTCTTTATAATATTAGTATAGATAAATTTACCATCTATAATCCGACTGAATGTAGAAGTGAAATAATGGATGGATTTTATCTGTATAAATAGTTTTTTTGTTTTAATTGAATTTTACACACCCAACCAAAGACAAAGTTGAAGCTTGAACACTATTGCATTACATTTATCCGATCCTCGAAGAGTCGAAATACACTTCTCCGATGCAGAAATAATTGACAAGGCCGTAGTACCTACCCTACCTACCCGTGTGGCACAGGCTTCCTATACCAGTAGTTATGCAAACCTTAGGTTTGCTTTAGATATTACGTGCCTTTATTCCTTCATCATGGAAGTCATTAGTGAACATATTGTGTTTAGTGTGTATTTCATTAAAATACTGCAGGATTTGTACACCGACATTGTCGCATCGTTCAATACTTTTTCATTTTTGAGAGGCTATGTCGGCGTAACCCTAACGTGTAGGTGAGCTCTCGGAGCACAAGCCTGGAGACATTGCTGGCACTGGCCCTAGCAAGAGCAGTGCTTCGCAGAATCTAGCACCGGATCAGAAACGCAACTCAATGAGAAGATCCGGCGAGAAACTCGGTGGGCTGTGTCTATGGGTTAGTTTACTCGCCGAGACCTTCGTCACAAACGAAGGGAACGGTGACCGGTCGTTTTCAACGGACGCCTTATCCTTTAGGCCACAACGACATGTCTTGATTTAATAAAACAACCAACAATTTATCTTCTCTTTATTAAAACACTCAAACGCAATTATCGTCCGCCCTACGTCTGGTCGAAGGCATTGGCTCTTTGTACCTCTGCATCGACCTCCAGCAAGCCTTCGCCGATGCGCTATACGTGTCCATGTACTCAGTCCTGCCGGGAAACTCAGAGAACCAAGTCTTTATCGACTGCGGCGTGACTCCAGTGTGGATCGGTGCCGGAGGATGAATCGAAGGCCTAACTTTAGGAGGGTTCTCGGAGAAATGAGTAGGATCTTTGTAGCAGCGAAGGAGGCCAAGACGATTCGACTCCACAGGAATCGGAGCTGATGATTGCGACGAGGCCATGATAGTTCTGTAATCGGCTACCGGGAATGCTGTGGAATTTAATGCGAAGAATGTGGAGAAATCTTTACTTCTAATCCCTGTATCTGTTTTAATTATTAAAAAGTATATTTGATGATGTTTTGATAAATTCACTCGGTCACATTTTAACATCGATATTATCATTTCAATCTAGGTAGGCAGCGGCCTGGCTCTGCCCCTGGCATTGCTGAGGTCCATGGGCGACGGTAACCACTCACCATCAGGTGGGCCGTATGCTCGTCTACCAAGAAGGGCAATAAAAAAAAACTTGCTAACTTAAAGTGAATTTCCTTTAAATTAACTTTTATTACTGGGACTGAGGCCGAGAAAAGCCCCTAAGAACAACAACGACAACCACTACCCTCTTTGTTTATCCTGCGATGCAGCTATGCGAACCGCTTTCAAGAGTGAAATCCCCGTTCAAATACAATGAAGGCTTTCACGTCATGTTTCGACGTGATTGGTGGTGGCCTTACACTTGTTTTTTTTATTGCCCTTGTAGGCAAACGTTGGCCCACCTGATGGTGATTGGTTACCGTCGCCCATGGATTACAAAAATGCTAGAGGCAGAGCCAAGCCGCTGTCTATCGTTAAGTACACTTCACACGTCTCGTTTGAAGAAGGACATATGATAGCGCTCGGGAAACCGTGAGGGAGAGCTCATTCCAAAGCCGGATGTTACGTGGCAAGAAAGATCTCTGGAAACGCACTGTGGATGAACGCAGTGGCTCCGATGGTGCTATGTCTATACGTTCGAAGATCTTAGCATCGGATGAATTCATTTAACCCTCTTTTTGCTCTTATCCCACATTATATGGGGTGGGCGCAGCACGTCCTCTTATCATGCTGCTTAACGATTTAGCATGAGGTTTACGACAAGTTGCCTGTCTGACGTCATCACTCTTTGGGTTATATCTCTCGTGCTATAAGGACGGGCTTTTCTGTTTCTCGTTTGAGTTTTCTTTTGCTTCAACAGTTTTTTAAGTCTGCGATTCGCATTTTACTATCATATAAAAATATTTAAACTAAAATTTAGATTTTCAAACACCAGATAGCAATAACGTTTTCCTACTATATACTGGTACAGAAACTGACCCAAAAACTGATTAAGAAAGGTTCAGTTAGAACGGGAACTTACACCTCTTCTTGTACGTGGCTTGATACATCGTTGTCATCTTCGAGTCCAGGTCGTCGCAAGGATGATCTAGGATGTCATTTGTGACGCTAACCATCTGAAAAGTTCATTAACGGCTCTCGTGATACGAACGGCGGTTAATATGCGTCAAATCTACCATTATTGTGTAGTCTGTTAACCAATACTAAGAGAATTCTTCAAAAAAGCGGTGCGTAACGACAATCCCCAATTATTGTAGCTGCCTCTAATTTTATAACTGACCCAGAAGACGTGGCAACACGCAGCTGCCATCAATACGTCCTGTCGGTTCCTCCTAATGCACTCTCGGTGCTTTTAGGTTTTCCAAGCACCAGTCATCATTCTCGTCGAACTCGTCGAATGTTTGAAGTGCAACCTAACCCAAAAGCTCAACGCAATGAGTTCCTTGCCGGCTCTTCTGATCGCGATTCCAATCCAATGGTATATTAAGCGAAGCCTTGCTCTTGCTAGAGTCACACGGGCTCGCCTACCAAACTGTACGTGGCTGGAATAGCCCCTCGAGGCTACGAGCGATTAGGCAAGAAGATCAAATCCTTATAAAAAAGGTAAGCAACTCGCATACCATTGTTAGTGATCACAATCGTTAAACAACTTAACAAACCGAAAAGTCCTTATTATGAAGGGTCAAAGCTTCGAATGTTTATGATAACAGCTGTCCCACCCTTCAAACCTACCACCAGTACCTAATACCAATTGGCAAAGAGGAACGCTTGCATTACATACATTTCAAAGTGGGCGGCAGTTTTGACTCAGTCATGTCTATTGACCCCAGTAACCAGCGTCAGGTGAGCTGCGAGCTCCACCCGTTTATGCAATAAATAAAGACGCTGCCGTTCTCTCTCCGTTGGTCCCTTGGTCCCCCTTAAATGTCACCCCCCACTCGTGGTAGGACCTCTTGTGAGTCCGCGCGGGTAGGTACCACCACCCTGCCTATTTCTGCCGTGAAGCAGTAATGTGTTTCGGTTTGAAGGGTGGGGCAGCCGTTGTAACTATACTTGAGACCTGAGAACTTATATCTCAAGGTGGGTGGCGCATTTAGGTTGTAGATGTCTATGGGCTTCAGTAACCACTTAACACCAGGTGGGCTGTGAGCTCGTCCACCCATCTAAGCAAAAAAATAAAAAAAGCTTCTCTAGACGCGACGCTACGTCATCCGGCTGAGTGATGTCGGTCTACGATCGACATAAGGAAGATTATCCATCGCTCGGTAAATTGTCGCTGCTAATGTTATTTTTCCGAACTTCCTACCACCAAACGAACTACGCAAAATATTTTTTTTTCGAGTTATTTAATAAAAAAATTGCGGGTTTGATTTTCATTACATGGTGTCATTCCTTCACTGAAGTCGCTCAAGATAGGTACCTGTTTCCGCAGCTGTTCATAGTCTTGGCATAATTTCTGTTCTTTTTCGAGCAGCTGTTTGTATTGTTCTACTCTCGGTGAATAGGAATGAGCATCACAATGACAGTAGGGCGCAACTGGAGCTCGTTGAGCGGGTGGAGCTCCTGACGGCGTTGGAGGTTCGCATGGTCTAGTGTTCAAATTTTTGTATTAGTTTTTTTTTATCGGGTAGTATATTGCTCGTCAATAGCACACGGCTCACCTGATGGTGAGTGGTTACCGTCGCCCATGGACTTCAGCAATGCCAGGGGCAGAAGCCGCTGCCTACCACTAATATATAGAACTTCCACTAATCTATAGACTATAGAAAGAGGACGCGTGATAATAGAAGCATTACGGTATTTTCCAATCCGAGCTCTATAAACCCAAACAATACTGTCAAGAAATATTACCCATATGGTATATCATAAATTATTCTGGATAACACCTTCTGACAGTCTTCATAATGCGAGCTTAACGCCGATAATTCATTGCAATTAAGGTCGAATAGTTTGTTTAAACGTTAGCAAAACTTCAAAGCATGGATAAACGTTGTACAATAATTTTGCGATTAGCTTTGAATAGGCGCAAAAGTCTTACTTTCCTACGATGGGCTTTGGAAACGGCCACTGGTAGTCATTATGAGTATTCGTAACAAAATCCATCTTGATTGAGATTCTGAAAATAGCCATGTGAGATATAAAATAGTTTCAACAACAAAACATTTGGGTAAATAATGCACAAAAATAGCTATTGCAATAATGTGTTTGATTGCACGTAACATTACCTTAGTTTATCAAGTTTATATTTTTTAGATTTATTATAACTAATCTTGCTATTTGACACCCTACATAATTTAAAATAACCTTTGAAGCTAAAAATTTGAATTGAATAAAAATTTCTTCGAAGAGAGAAGATAAATTAATCATTTTTGAAGTCTAGTTGCCATTTTTTTGTTTAATTACGTCTTCCGTCAAATAATGAAAGTGAACAGACTGTATTTAGATTTGTTACTGAGATTTTATGATAAAAACTTGTGATAAGTACAGGCATTTCATTTTTTATTTTTTAGAGAATTATCATTGGTTATTGAAATAGTAAAATGGTACGCCAAACTGATTTTTTTTAATGTTCCATTTCAGCTTTGTACAGGTGTATTTTAGAAAATAAAAGCGGAATTAATTGAGAATAATAATAATCATTATTAATTTAATAATCATTAATCATAATAAATTTAATAATCATTGTTGACTGATTAAAGTCAAAGAAATACTCAAAATTTTATTAATAAAAAGTCATTCTCAGCAAGAAACAAAAAAGCAAGTTTAATTTCTACTAAAATGGATCGTTTGACTTATTCTGGCAGCATTAGAGAACTTGTTTGGTGCTTGCCGCTGACAACACAGTTGTTTTTGTGTCATCCGTCATCAAATCAGCTGTGTACCACACACAGGGAGCATGTAACAATAATAAATGTGCGTATTAAATTATTGAAGTGAAAATGNTCATTCTCAGCAAGAAACAAAAAAGCAAGTTTAATTTCTACTAAAATGGATCGTTTGACTTATTCTGGCAGCATTAGAGAACTTGTTTGGTGCTTGCCGCTGACAACACAGTTGTTTTTGTGTCATCCGTCATCAAATCAGCTGTGTACCACACACAGGGAGCATGTAACAATAATAAATGTGCGTATTAAATTATTGAAGTGAAAATGTCCAAAGTGAAAATATTCAAAATATCAAATCAATGTTTATGATAATTTCACGGCGTCGAAGACATGGCGCGCCGGAAGAGCAGTGGCATAACGAGCTTGAGTTTCAATCAGGACCAAGGTATGCGATACTTCCTAGTTCGTCAACCTTAGGTCTTTGTTCTCAGGTGCGTCAGCGTGGAGAACGCGTGGGGTTTCGATCCGGGGTGATCGTGGACAAGGCTTTGTGTTGAATGTTTTTGAATGACCGTGTACGCGGTATAGTTATCACGGTATGATACGATGCGATGCGGACCGCGCTTTTTCCACGTGTTGTTTATATTTTTAGTAGTGCCCACGCGCTCTTTTCATTCTACGTGGTTTCACTATTATCCGCTCGTAAGATTGTTTGGCCTCGACCCACGTCCAACACTTTCGATTTGAAACGCAATTTTCATTAAACAACTCGAATGTGGCACATGTAATTTGTTTTATACACATAAATTTTAAGAAATAATGTTGTTACACTGTAAACGCACAAAGGCTGATAAATAATTACATTGTACTTGTAAGAATATTTTTTTATTGAGAATTAAATGTTTGTACTTTATCTGGCTTTAGTTAACAATGAACAGAAGTATAATATGTAAATTAACTTTTATAGGTTTATGTCTGTGAAATTACTATAGTTTTTCTTTCTTCTAAATTATTTAATTATTCTATTCTAAATCTAGTAACTACCAGCATCTTGCTTATTTCTGCCACAAAGTAGTTATAGCATTTTGAGGGGTGGAAAACTTGTTGTTCAATGTGATTGGATATTGACATCATATTTCAAGTGGTAACATTTCCCTTGTAATTTCCATGGTATCTTGTTAACAATCACACCAGGTTAGCTATGAGTTTATGTCCCATATGGTGTTAATTATAATTCGATGTTGTACTTAGTATAGTTGTTTAGTATTGGTGTGTATAATGTAATAAAATAGTATTTTATACTCTGTCTCGGTGTCCATCTATTTAAAGCAATGATACACATAAATATTAGAATGACTAAAATAAATTATGTAATGTCTATTAATTTCAATTATCTTCATCTATTTGGATTGCAAAAATACATCAATTAAGTAGCGACTTCATTAAAACAAATTGGTTTTGAAAACTCGTTCGGTCAAATTAACATAATAACATTTTAAAATTTCATAAATCACTCGAAGCTGACCTTAGTAAATGTAATGTGCTCGGTGCCTAACCCAAAGCAGGGATATGAAATTTCATGCTTCTAACATTGGAAACAGACTTCTAGAGATCTGTATTTATCTCTAATTTCGAAAAATCCTTGAATGTCTCAGGCAGGGCAGGGCTGTGGCAGGCAACACGAAAGTTATAGTTTTAAGTTGGTAGTCAAAACGAATCTGTCGGTCAATCAAGAATAGTAATTATATTCTGCTCGCTCAAACTGCTACTGACAACAAAACTCGTTTGTTTGTATTATTACAACCCTCACCTTATTCTCTTTTTACAGCATAACGATGCCTCCAATTGACACTACGCTAACTCCAAATTCGTAGGTTTACAGGAGGAGCGTTTAAACGAAAAAAGTTGATAAAATCTTTATTATTGCAGATATATTTATGGTTTTTTTGTGTAACTAGCTGATTTACTCTTGCTTCGAACCCCACAATAATGATTAATTGTAATACTTTTAACATAGTGAAGCGATTTGCGTGAAAAACGAAAATTAAAAAATTTTGAGTTTGAGTAGTGTTCATTGGAGGCATCGATAAGATAAATTCAATAACCTCCAATTGCTACCTTGTGTACAAACAAGAAAGGTTCTGACATTGTCCTTATCTTCATTTATTTCTTAAATTAATTACCAGATAATGACCAGACACTATAACCGTTAATGATGGTTTGCGTAATCTCTAACCTTCATCACTAAACACAGCTTATATAAATTACACTAGTTTTGCCGGATAAGATGTAGACAACTTAGTTGAGTCATCTAGGATATTGATTTGTTTCTTTTTCACAGCTCACGGCATACATAGTTTCTTTAAGATCAACTCCTTGTATTTTAGTTCAAAGTATTGCGGTAGTGAGTGAACCAATACAGAATGGTACCAGAATCCTGATTTTATCTTCGGTATAGCAAAACCTATTCTGGCTATAAAATTAGGATGACTGAATAATATTAAAGTCTTATAAAAAGTTTTTTGTATAAATATGTATTAATAAATACTTATCTCTATATATAAAAATTAATTACTGTTCGTTAGTCTCGCTAAAACTCGAGAACGGCTGGACCGATTTGGCAAATTTTGCTCTTGAATTATTTGTGGAAGTCTAGAGAAGGTTGAAAAGGTAGATAAATGAATGAAAATGCTCGGAACTAAATAAAAATAACAATTTTGTTTTTCCTTTGATGTGTCCCCCGTAGGACGGATTCCTTTTGTTTGTTTTATGTTTATTTTATACAAAAGTTTAGGTATTTTATTTATTGATTGAGGCACTACAAAGTCTGCCGGGTCAGCTAGTATTAAATAAGAATGGATTGCGGCGTTTCGTTATATATATTTTTGCACTAATCTTAAAAACTATATGAACGACAAAGTTTTTATTATTAGTTAGTGCCACTGACTGCTAGACTGACAGTTGTGGGTTCAATTCCCACATGTCACCCATCCGTGTGACAAACAGGTTAGTTAGCCCTTCATCTGAGTGCTTAGTATCTCTATAAGCACATAATTAAACGTATAAAAACGTATTTCTGTGTCTGTTTCCCATAGTATAGGCAATCCTAATTTGGGGCCAATTCGTGGTTTATTTGTCCTCGGGTCGTTGACTTATAATTTGTAATTTGCAGGCTGTTTCACATGCTGTCTGAAGACTGGCCTGCGTGTCTATAATGTGGAGCCCCTGGTCGAGAAGGCGCATTACAGTTAGTATTATCCTACCCCTGAATCATATATACTGGTGGTAGGACCTCTTGTGAGTCCGCGCGGGTAGGTACCACCACCCTGCTTATATCTGCCGTGAAGCAGTAATGCGTTTCGGTTTGAAGGGTGGGGCAGCCGTTGTAACTATACTGAGATCTTAGAACTTATATCAAGGTGGGTGGCGCAGGGTACGCTGTAGACGTCTATGGGCTCCAGTAACCGCTTAACACCAGATGGGCTGTGAGCTCGTCCACCCATCTAAGCAATAAAAAGATAATGTTATAAAGTATATCGAGGGGAGAAAGGCTATTTGGTTTAAGCGACATTTTTACAACTTTACAGGAGGGCCATTTAAATTTATAATTTGGAAAAAATATCATAACAATATAAACTTCATTAGCTATTTAAATGGAGTAAACTTAATTGAAGTTCAATTAAAAATATCGGACAGTTGATACTAATACCATATAAAATGCGCCTTTAATTACAAAGATATGTAAACGTCGCGTATTAAGTGAAATCACGCTTAAATCAAATAGCCAAATCGGTAGGCAGCGACTTGGCTCTGCCCCTGGCATTGCTGAAGTCCATGGGCGACGGTAACCACTCACCACAAGGGCAAAAAAAAAGAAGCCTTCACCCCTCAAATAATGATATATGTGACGTGTGTAATACTCGGGTTAAATATGTTAAAGTTTTAACTTTTATATCGAATTCATTGCAAATAGCACACATTGTTTCGTTGTTCATACGTTTGTAACGCACTCGCGTGCTTATTTTTAGCGTTAGTTTGACTTGACCTAAAAAAAATTAACTAAGACCAAATTGGGCCTAGTGCCAATTACGGAGACACGAATTCGTTAAAAAATTGAAAAGCGTTGTTCTGTTATATGCGAATTTTGTTCGAGAGATTAGAAGGAGATATTAATGTTGCACCTTTAGTAGTGGAATTCATTTTTTACACTTCTCCCGGTCACCGCCCTCGCCGAACCCGTCGCTTACGACGAAGGACTCGTTTTTTTTTCCTACCTAAGCTAATAGCCTTGAGAGGCTATATCAGCATATCAGCGTCGCCTTAACTGGTAGGTGAGCTCACGTCGCTTGCGACGAGCCCTTCGTCGCAAGCGACGGGTTCGACGAGAACGATGACCGGTGCTTGGGGTACCTAAAAGCACCGGAAGGGCTCGACGAGTAGATTAACGCATAGACATAGCCCACTGAGTTTCTCGCCGGTTCTTCCCAGTGGGTCGCGTTTTGGATCGCGAATAAAAAGCGTGGGTTGCATGGTATCAGTAGTTATAAATATTTTATGAACAGATATGAGTAGAAGGGTTATTTTCATAATATCCTGAAAAGCACCCCACGCTTTTTTTTATAATAAAAATGATATATTTTTTCTTACACTATTTTTAATTCAAATTTATTCAAATTTATTTTCCATTTTTAGTTGGATTTTCTGTAAAAGCGTATTTTGTTAGTTTTTTTAAACTATTATTTAATTACCATATAACGTTTGATATAATCAACGCGTCACATAAAGTCAAACCGCACATTGTTCTGATTCAATCATCGGACTTATTATTATGCAGCGTGCGTACGAATTCAGGAAGGTCGATAGTGTATAAATATTCAAACGTATTTTCTTGTTTCGTTACTCGTTCAATTACTTGAAAACTAAAACGTAATAGCTTTTAATATGTTAAGACCGCAATTAAAATAGTGACGTTTTAATTCAAATACACAACAAAGAACACTCGTTAGTTGAGCTTCAAACAAAGCCGGTGTCCGTGGATTCGCTGATTAAATAATTAAAATATATTGTGGTACCGTACCATACCATACGATACCATACTTTAGTTTAACCATTTTTTTTCGGGCCGGGGGCCGAACCTCCTATGAGGTCCCTGCGTCTAGGGGGTGCGCGGGGTATGTGGGACTTGACGATCTGAACGACTCCCCTGCACTCTTACACCCCACGTCCGATCTCCGTCCGGGGTCAGAACCCGGTCAGAGTAGGGGGAACCTTAGTTTAACCTAAGCCTAACCTTACTTTACTTGATTTCACCTTGCCATTTTTTTGCCCTTTTAGGCAGACTAGCATACGACTCACCTATCGGTGTCCCCAACTTGTGAACGGTTACCGTCGCCCATAGACGTGAGCAATGCCAGGGACAGAGCCAAGCCGCTGCCTACCGTTGAATACTTAAACTAGTCACAATGTTACAAATGCAGACATGTGAGTTGTCATCTTGTCGTGTTGGTAATAAATACCACTACCCCAGTAACCGTACTCGTCGAACTCGACAAAGAGTTCGACGTGCAACTTAACCCATGAATCAGCTCGCTGAATCTCTCGCCGGATCTCCTCAGCGGGTCGCGATTCCGATCCGGTAGTAGATTCATTCGCGAACCAGCTGCTCTTGAGTTATTAGGTCTCCTTCGGATGTGCTCCGCCAGCTGTTAGCAAATCCCACCCCTCCTGAGCCTTTGCTCGCCCACCTGTCCTCGTGAAACTAGAAAGGCCTCCGGGCCACGAGTAATTCTNATCAGCTCGCTGAATCTCTCGCCGGATCTCCTCAGCGGGTCGCGATTCCGATCCGGTAGTAGATTCATTCGCGAACCAGCTGCTCTTGAGTTATTAGGTCTCCTTCGGATGTGCTCCGCCAGCTGTTAGCAAATCCCACCCCTCCTGAGCCTTTGCTCGCCCACCTGTCCTCGTGAAACTAGAAAGGCCTCCGGGCCACCAGTAATTCTTCAATCCAAAAAAAATAAAATAAAATACCACTGTGATGAAGTGGATTTTAATTTTTTTACATCAATCCCATTACGTTTAAATCACAATCTAAATAGCGATTACCCTATCTTGGTTGTGTACAGAAGACGTCTGTGTGAATAATGCATCAACACGATAAAGCCAAATATAAGTTCACGCTGTTAATGGCGTAGCGTCTTTATATCACATTGAGAGAATTTATTTCGATTTAGTATATGTAGTACTAATGGTAAATAATAATTGTAAATAGACATGCTTTAACAAAAACCGACTTCAAACAGAAAAAAAAAAGATATTCCAAAACAAATTAATATACACTAAAAACAATAATCATCGAAATCGGTTGGCGTGATATTGAGTTATACATCTATTTGTCGCGCACGTACTTAATGCGAATTTAAGACTTATATGGTTATCTCATGGAAACTATTATCAAAACTGGACTAAATTGAACATTGGACCAAAAGGAAAGCGTCTACTTTCTAATAAAAAAAGAATCATCAAAATCAATTCACCCAGTCAAAAGCTATGAGGTAACAAACATAAAAAAAACATACAAACACAGTCGAATTGAGAACCTGCTCCTTTTTTGAGGTCGGTTAATAAATGAAGACCAGTGGGACTGATGAATACATAAGTAACTTTATAAGTATACGTCGGAGCAAAGTCGTCACTATTTAACTAACTAAATGTAGTTAAAGTTAACTGTTTTAATGTTACGCAGGTCAACAGCTGTTTACAACGGTATTCAAGAGAATTCATGACTAAGTTAACCCCACTTTCTACTTTGACTAAGTTGTACTTTAAATACAATTGACTGCTGTCGCACAAAATGCGCACTGAGTTTCTCGCCGGATCTTCTCAATGGGTCGCGTTTCCGATCCGGTGGTACATTCTTCGAAGCACGGTTCTTGCTAGGGTTCGTGTTAGCAACGTCGTCAGATTTGAGCCCTTCGAGCTCACCTACTAGGTAAGGTTACGTTAAAATCGCCTCTTAAGGCTATCAGCTTAGTAGGGAAAAAAAGGTGACGCGTTTTCCAAAGATCATCGACGAATTTATGTACAGTAAGTTCTCATTTCTTAACTACCTTCAGGCAAAGAGGAGCTGGGCGAGGTGTCCCTATGCGAGATGGTGTTCCGCACCAACTGGCTGCTCGTGGTGAAAGCTCGGAAGCCGTACAGCCTCCTCCTGCTGGACGACCAGCAACGTGCCTTCAAGGCTGAGGTGGTCTTCAAGTCGCCGATACGAGCGCTGCGGGCCAGGAAGGATAAGTACGTTGCGAAATGTTATTCATTTATTAGAAAACCAAACCAACTTCACCCCTTTTAAACTTTTAGAAAGAAAAAAAAATGGCGGCATTATATTGTAGGTCTTTATTGACTATCGCTTAGCGATTGAGAAGCAGCGGTGTCGTCGTCTACTGCAGTAGATAATACGAAATAACGAATGAAATAATCTATATATATAAAAATGAATTGCTGTTCGTTAGCCTCACTAAAACTCGAGAACGGCTGGACCGATTTGGCTAATTTTGGTCTTAAATTATTTGTGGAAGTCCAGAGAAGGTTTAAAAGGTAAAAAAAATAAAAAAAAAGTTTTTCCTCTAATGTGTCCCCCGTCGGACGAATTCATTTTGTTTGTTTTATGTTTATTTTATACAAAAGTTTAGGTCTTTTATTTATCGATTGAGGCACTACGAAGTCGGCCGGGTCAGCTAATCACGATATAAAATTATACAAGCAAACGGCTTGCGATTAGGTTTGTGAGCGCCAATCAAAACTTGACCTTCGCGGTCCGTAATTCGCTAACTAGGCACTGGAAGACGGTCAGTGTCATCCTTTTTGGGTTGCAATGCTGTTGTTGTTCGCGTAATTCGGTAGCTGACTGATACAGTCTATTAATTCAAAAAGGATTAGTGAATAACGTAATTAATCAATAAATACAGGGAGTTTAAATCTATATATTAATACGTGAAGGAAAAACTTTGTATCTTTTGTACTTACTAAAGGTACTTTTGTAGCTTTTTACGAAAATTGCGCGGACGGAGTACTATATAGAGACTATAGAGACGGAGTGCACAATGTTAATATTTTTTTAAATTATGCCTAAAAATACATTCAATCAATAAAAAACACATTACACACACTACGATGTATTTGACGCACACACGCATGCATGCATACTATTCTTGACGTCTGTGGTCAAATTGAGAATAGATTAAAATTAAATATTGTTTGTCTTTATTAATATTTTCCAATAGTCTTGGCGAAATTTGTTATTATAGAATAGTCTTTGAAAATAGAATCATAATCGTGTACAAACTTTTAATTTCAATTAATTATAGTCGAATTTAGACTACGGGTCGACCTCTAGTTTTAATAAAACTAAAACTCGCAATAAACTTAACTAAAGTAAACAGAAAAAAAATATGTTCGTTTACAAAAACGATCCAATATTGAAATTCGTCCAGTATTGATCGAAATTCGACCGTAACCTCCCACATTGAAGATTTCGATTCATTTAATGTATTAATAGAAATTATAATATATCAAAGTTTATAAATATTTTCGTGTTGGACCCGTAAAAAAATCATCAAAATCGCTGCAGTTCTTTGGTTTTTAAATCGACTTAAAAAAAAGTATTTGAGGCAAACGGATATCACGTATTACGCTTTTCTTTTGTAAGACGGTAACCTAGGAATGGTTTCATGTAATCTAACCTCTTTTTTAAATAAAAAAATTTAAATACAAATCGACAACCCATAAACAATACGTCTAGACTTTTACATGAATATTTAAATACGGTATTTCCGATTAGATAACGACGACCTTCACCTAATACCCCGTATTGAATACACGTCGTACTCTATCAGTCAAATTGTACTAAAAGTACTGGCTTAAAAAAAATGCGTAGCCGTTTTAGTATCGTGTTGATAAGCAGACGGGTCACAGCCTAAACGACTCCCAGTCTGTAGACATCACATATGAGACATCAGCGCAAAAGTGGCCCAACCCACAATTTTTAATATTCAAACTTATATGATGTATATTGGTATTTATTTAAAATATAATAATTTTTATTATCAATATTGTCGTCCATAATTATTATAAAATATTTTTTTGTATCTCAGGAATGTGGACAAGATAGGACTATAATAACAAATTACATTATTATTTTTGCAACGTTTCGGTCGGTAAATATTGTAGTGTTGACAATTGTTGTTTTTTATATTGTTGGTTATCAATATGTGTAATTTTCAGATGCCTGATGAAGGTCTAATAAAAGACCGAAACGTTGCAAAAATAATAATGTAATTTGTTATTATAGTCCTATCTTGTCCACATTCCTGAGATACAAAAAAATATTTTATAATAATTTTTAATTCAAAACCGGCCTATCCATAATTTCACCCATAGATAACAGATAGCATTGTAAACATTATTTTTGCGCGTATTGTTTTTTTTTGCTTATTCAAATTCTATTCATGAAAATTCAAACCTAAATGCCTCCATACTAACTATGATAAGCTTAGGCTACTTTTGCGCTGACGGCCTCATATGTAATTGAGATGTACATGACCTTCAAACTTTATACCCTGAGATATATCCTTCGCGGTAAGAGCGGCATTTTCCCGTGCGGGAATTACTGCCTTATAAAAGAACTATGTATGTAGTTAGGTTAAGGGATGAAACAAGAATTAGGGGAAAAATCGTTAATACATGCAAAATTATTTCTGGATCTATGTTTCCACTTAGTTCAGTACTTGAGGCATGGAAAGTGACAGATGTTTTAATCTAAGCGTTTGATTCGATCGTTCTAACGCAAACGAATATCGCATTCTCCGACCAGACAATACGTTCTAGAATTCTGTGCACGCACATGGTCCTTGGTTAAAGGATAAGACGCCCGGTGTATTTGTTTGTAGCGATGCACCGGTGTTCGAACCCCGCAGGCGGGTACCAATCTAATGAGATACGTACTTAACAAATGTTCACGATTGACTTCCACGGTTAAGGAATAACATTGTATAATAAAAATCAAACCTGCAAAAGTATAATTTGTGTAATTACTGGTGGTAGAAGCTCTTGTGAATCCCTCGGGTACGTACCACCACCTCGCCTATTTTGGCCGTGAAGCAGCCGTAACAATTCATCAAATATAGCTTAATATTCAAAACAAATATTTCAGTGAATTTTACACGACTCCCAAGTAATTTATTTTACATTAATTCGTCGATCAACAATACTAAGTAACATTAACCCAACTAGGCAATAAAAAAATAAAGTGTGTGTGTGTGTGTGTGCAAGTCGCACACGGTAGAAGTGAAACTTATAAATAAGATATACATATAGATATACTATACTATCCCACTACACGGGAGCATGTATATGGGCAATGTTTAGTTTTTGAGGTAGGCAGCGGCTCGGTTCTGGCCCTGGCATCGCTGAAGTCCATGGGCGATGTTAACCACTCACCATCAGGTGGGCCGTGTGCTCGTCTGCCTACAAGGGCAATAAAAAAAAAAGACGATAGTGGGGATGCTATGAAGAGTCGCACAAAGAGGAGACCGAGAACGTATAATGTGTTCTATCTCATTCTCTCGCCGGCTGAATCCTATACATTTATGTGTTTGTGTCTCTATGGACTTATTTTTTCGTTTCATCGAGTTTGAAATCACAACGATTCTAAAGAAGTTTCACTTCAAAAACGTAGTCACAGTAGAGCTGTGCGTTTCAGGGTGGCCGTTGTCCTGACGTCCAGCGTGCAGGTGCTGGCGTTGCCGACGTTCCAGCGGGTCGCGTTGCTGCGGACGCCGTCCTCCGCGAGGCCGCTGTGCGCCATCGCCACGGAACCCAACGCGACGCAGATACTGGCCGCGCCCGCGCACCGCACCGGATCCCTGCAGTTGCTCGTATGTCCTAAACGAATTAGCTTGCCACTGAGAGAGAGAGAGAGAGAGTGACAGAGTATGCTTTATCTATATACTAGTGACCCGCCCTCGCTTCGCTCCAGAAACTTTAATTTATGATTGATTTCTCCACTATTTAATGGATTTTATTGTACATATAAACCTTCCTCTTCAATCACTCTATCTATTAAAAAAAACCGCATCAAAATCCGTTGCGTAGTTTTAAAGATTTAAGCATACATAGGAATATAGGGACAGGACAGAGAAAGCGACTTTGTTTTATACTATGTAGTGATATATGAAAATGAATGGCTGTTCGTTAGTCTCGTTAAAACTCGAGGACGGCTGGACCGATTTGGCTAAATTTGGTCTTAAATTATTTGTGGAAGTCCAGAGAAGGTTTATAAGGTAGATAGATATGAAAATGCTCGGAATTAAATAAAAATAACAATTTTGTTTTTCCTTTGATGTGTCCCCCGTCGGACGGATTCCTTTTGTTTGTTTTAAGTTTATTTTATACAAAAGTGTAGGTCTTTTGTTTAACGATTGAGGCACTGCGAAGTCTGCCGGGTCAGCTAGCCGTAAACAAAAAAAAACAGCAAAACATTAAATACAAAAAAGATGAATAGGCGATCTTATTGCTAAGATCGATCTCTTGCAGACAATCATCTATTGGACAAGAGTCACTGGTAAATAAATTACACGCGGTGTATCTATCTATTGAAATATGTATATTATGTATGTATACGCACACACATATAACATATATTAACAATGTATGTAAATGAGCGTGAATGAATTGGCATTTTGTTTTGTTTGTTTTTTGACTTCTCTGAACGACCTAACGGCTCACCTGATGTCGAGTGATCACCAGAGCCCATAGATCAACTATCTATCTAGGAAGAGAGGAAGAGAGGTCGTCCCGGAACAACTTGGCGTCGCTCAGTAGAGTAGGAGGAGTCAAAACAGCCTACCCTCTTGGGTAGGCTATTCTGGTACTCCGAAGTATATGGAAAAATTTGATTCGAGCCCTACATCAGATGGTAATAGGAAGGAAAGAAGAAGAAGGTCGTATTAATGGCGGTTCACAGTGTTGCCACACTTACGAGCAAAATTTCAAACTTTTTGGGATCGACAGCGAACTTACTCGGCTGTTTTAAAGCACGAGTGCTTAAGGCGACACACCTTACTCGCGCGTCTTATCGCTTACTTAACACGTTGAACGCCACATGAAATATCGAGTATTTTCATTCAGACCACGGTGCTCACCGGTAAGCCTTAGTGAACCGTTCGGGCTATGAGGGTTACCGGCGACTCGCGTGAGGGTTCTGAACGTAAACTCTTCCTACAAGCCACAGACAAACTATCAAACAAAACGCGTGTGGAAGTGAGCCACGTGGCCCTTTAGCCGAAACAAACGTCTTGGTTTTCAAATCGAATGGAAAGTCGTAGTTTTTGTTAAGATTAAAATAGCCTTTTAAAATATCTTCAAAACTAGTCGGTGAAAGTCGCTAATTTTTATCTACCGTGAAAATTATAGAATTTTATAAAATTTATAATAAAAATTACGGATTTCCTGATTTTTTTTTATTGCTTATATGGTTACTGGTAATCGTTACATCTACAACGTAAATTCCGCCACCCACCTTGAGATATAAGTTCATTAAGGTCTCAAGCATAGCTACAACAGCTGCCCCACCCTTCAAACCGAAACGCATTACTGCTTTACGGCAGAAATAGGCAGGGTTGTGGTACCTAACCGCGCGGACTCACAAGACGTCCTACCACCAGTAAAAATTGGGTTAGGCCCAAATGATATGCTAGGCCCATCGGTGGTCGTTCAACGTGCTAAGAGCTGTGTGCGGTACGGTAGGACGTGTCGAGCGTGCACCGCGACGGCGGCTCCAGCGCGCCTAGCGTGGTGCGCTGCCACCGCTCGGCGCTGGTGTGCGTGTGCGTCAGCGGGAGCGGCACCCGGCTCGCCACGGCGTCCGCGCGCGGCACCCTGGTCCGCCTCTGGGACGCCGTCTCCAGGCAGCTGCTGCACGAGCTCAGGCGGGGCTCCGACTACGCCGACGTCTACTGGTGAGTCCTTTGTAATCGAATCGTTAGTACGAGGCAGAGGACGGTCTAGTCAATGGTAGTTGTGGCTTAAGAATTGCATTTAACACGTTGACTGCCGTGTAGGTCACCGGTGCCCTACGCGGCACACTGAAGTAATTATGTCGATTTCTCTCTTCGATCTTCTTACTAAGGTGCCAGAATTTTCACAATTTCTATGCTGAATCATGGATAATGGAAAACCTACCTACTCATATTGTGATGAAGTTCCGATTTTTTTCTCATGTGTGCATGTGTTAATTTCTGAAGACAGTGTTTTGCCTTAATCCGGTGACACGATAGATTATTCATTTGTCTTTGACTTTAACACTATTGCATCTTTTGACTAACAATCAGTTCTTTTTAATATCGTAAGCTAGTCGTGAAAGCTACAAATTGGTGGTACTCGTAAAGTACACCCTGTATAGAACTGGTTTTATCTGTTCATTGCCACCGCCGGCTGATCGGCTTACGACCCGTCAGTACTTAACCGGTCGCTGATGGACAGCAGCAAGGTCAAAGCCAAGCGACTGTCTACCTCGATGATTGTTGTTCCAGTATAAGTCTGAGCGCTCAGGGCGGACGCGCGGTGTGCGTGTCGGACAAGGGCACGGTGCACGTGTGGGCGCGCGGGACGCACGTGGCCGCCGCGCGGGCGCCGCCCGACACGCGCGCCCTCTGCGCCCTCACCGACGACGACAGCGCTGTCGGTCAGTACCGCATCACACTACTGCACGGCACTACCGCATTATACTACCGCACCACATTACCGCGCCAAAATACCGCACCGCACTATAGCATTACAGTACCGTACCGCGCTATCGCATTACACTACCGTACCGCGCTATCGCATTACACTACCGTACCGCGCTATCGCATCACACTACCATACCGCACTACCGCATTACATTACCGTACCGAACTATCGCATTACACTACCGAACCGCACTATCGCATCACACTACCGCATTACATTACCGCTTTACACTACCGTACCGCACTCCCGCATCACACTACCGCACTGCACTATCGCACCACTGCAAGCTACTATACTACATCAGGATACTCAATAAACTACTAATGAGTTGTTACTGGTGGATGTCTTGTGAGTTCACACGGGTAGCGCCACCTTTGGGGGCTTAACGACAAAGGAAAGATCTTCCACCGAGCCGGTGATGTTGCTCAGTAGACTCGACGACCCGAATGTTGTTGTTCGGGACTTGTGTATACAATCAAATATCTTGTGTTATGTGATGATTACTACCACTGCCCTGCCTATTTCTGCCGTGAAGCAGTAACGCGTTTCGGTTTCAAGGGCGGGGCAGCTATTATACTGCTAAAACTGAGACCTTAGAACTCATGTTTCAAGGTGGGCGGCGGCATTTACGTTTAAGATGTCCATGGGCACTGGTAACCACTTAGGACCAGGTTGGCCGTGAGCTCGTTCACCTTTTTCACCACACCGCAGTTCAGTGTTAAATAAACTGTTATAGTTCGGATAACTTTGTCGTACAAAGCGCTTAGTGCGAGTTTTTTAACTTTCTCGATAACGTAAAAGTTAACTTAAATTAGTATGGATTTGGAACATTTGCTTACGTTTGCCGCTAGAGACGCTACAAGTTAGATTAACTTTTACGCTATCGAGAACGTTAAAATACTCGCACTAAGCACACACAGATCTAGGAATGTATGGAACTGGCATGTTGTCTGCTTGACGTCTCTAGTGTTATTTTGTTCCAGTAGTGATATGCGAAGACGGTACCTTCCACAAGTTCACGTTTGCAGCGGAAGGAAACTGTCATCGGTCCGACTTTGAATATTTCTTGCAGGTAATCATCGTCAATTGCATTAACTTTGGTTTCGAAGGTTAACTTTGGTTGTAGCGATGCACCTGTGTTCGAATCCCGCAGGCGGGTACCAATTTTTGTAATGAAAATACGTACTCAACAAATGTTCACGATTGGCTTCAACGGTGAAGGAATAACATCGTGTTATAAAAATAGAACCCGTAAATTTATAATTTGCGTAATTACTGGTGATAGGACCTCTTGTGAGTCCGCACGGGTAGGTACCACCACCCTGCCTATTCCTGCCTTGATTCAGTAATGCGTTTCAGTTTGAACTTGTAACTTATACTTGAGACCATAGAACTTATATATCAAGGTGGGTGGTGCATTTTCATTGTAGATGTCTATGGGCTCCAGTAACCATTTACTGATTGATATTTGCGTGATTGTGAATGGAAGCGATTTTTTTCTAATCTGCCGACCGTGACAGATCATCTTACGGCTCGGTATTTGGTTAATGTTAACCGTCGCCTGTGGACATCAGCAAAATCGTTCCCCGTCTGTAATAAACAACATAACCGATTTCAAGCGTAAATGACATAGTCTGACCAGATTTCGTTTGTACTTGAAGTTATTTTTACTAGTTTTACTTAATTTTAGTTTTATTGTGAGTAATTGAACATATTTCAGGTTGGAGACGACGACGAATTCCTACAATGATGACTGCTGTACAATAAAATTCACTTTATGCGAACTTTAACAGTGTTACAAGGGAATTAAAAAAGAAATATACAAAAACACAAAAAAAAAACAATCGTATGAAATGTGATCGTAATAAATAAATAAACATGCAAACGTCTTTTACAAATTGCAAACGTTAAATTTGACTAAGTAAGTGTCGAATAGTAACGCATGTTAAAATAATAAAGAGTGATAATACTTGTGTAAATTAGGTTTTAAGGAAATTCTAAAATTGAAGAAAACTCGTTGGCGCGGTTTGAAAGAAAAAAAAAAAGCAATTTTTGACGTGAATTCGAAATTTTCGTTATATTTTTTCAGAATTTTTCGTTCGTCAATGTCGCGAATGATTTAAAATATGTTAGTTTGTAAGGAAATTCTAAAATTGAAGTCGTTAATGCGGTTTGATAAAATAAATCAAAAACTTTTTTTACGTGATTTCGAAATTTTCGTAATAATTTTTCATATTTTTTTCGTGCGTAAATGTCGCGAACGGTATGTTAGTTTTTATGGAAATTCTAAAATTGAAAACAATGGCGTGATATGAATGAAGAAAAAAAATCCATTTTTGACGTATTTCGCAATTTTTGTAATGTTTTCGCGCGTCAAGTTCTAGTGATAAATAAGTTTTTATGAAAATTCTAAAATTGAAAAGGTTTTAGCGCGGATTAACAAAAAAATTATATTGACGTGTGTATGTAATTTCGAAATTTTCGTAATATTTTGTCGCGCGTAAATCTCTAGTGGTAACGTAACCTCTAAAGGAAATGCTAAAATTGAAAATGGCGGGGGATTGATAAAACAATATCCCCTTGATTTCGAAATTTTTATAAAATACTTTTTTATGATTTTTCGCGCGCAAATTTTGTAGTGTGAGTGAGCTAGGTATATCAATAAGTCATATTAAGTTAGAATAACCTCGCAGTTCGGATCAAAGTTGCATGGATAGTTATTTTTACAACTGAAACAGAAGTTGTTTCGTTGAATGAGCAAGCAAGATTATGCGAGTCATTTTATAATCATGTTAGACGAATAGCAGTAATATTATAGCGTAGTCACAATCTAAAGGCTCTTTGAAATAAAACAATACTTAAATGTGCTATTATAATAAGGTTTGCATGCGTAGAATTTCTATTAAAATAAATGTGAATTTTTAAATGCAAAAGACAGGGCACCAATTGCATTTTTACGTATGTATTTTTTTTAGAAATTGTATTTTTTTTTAGTTTTATTAACTTATAGTTTTATTGATCGATGCTCGTAAACGCATATAACATGACAAATTTACTTAAAAAAAAGTTTAAGTAACAAATTCCACGATATTAAATTACGAACAGCGTTATAGAACTAGTAAGAAGGTAAAAAAAAAACTTTATTTACGTCCAAAGTCAATCAGGTGATATCAACCAAACACAATTTGTTGTGATGTCTTCATATATTATGTACTAAAGAAATATTATTTAACATTATAATATATCATGTTAAAATAGAAGTAAATTATTAATATTTGTATTGAATGTATTGAGGCTGGGTTAAGTTTGAGTGGTGGAGCTTAGTATAGCCGCGACCTCCGACCAGAGCAGACCTGTTGTATGAATCAGCTCAGAAAATATTATCATTATTGTATCAAAAAAAAAATGCATGAATGTTTATTTTTTCTTGTGTTGTATTACGTTTAGTAAATTACACGATTAAAGGAAAGGAATTTGTGTAGTTTTTATTAAAATATGAACCGTAAACCTAAATTGCTATTTGTATTGTATATTTCATTCCCTTTTTTACTTTTTTATTTATTTATTCAAAAATATATATTGTCTTTCTAGTTTGTTTAATATATTTCCATTAGAAAAAATATTGTAATTTATACTCTTCACCTCGTTTACATAGAATATATAATAATATATATTTAGAACATTTTAAAATGTATATTTCAGATAGTTTTTTTTTAATACTGATTTCCGAAGGTACTTACAATATGAGTATATATTTCAACTGTCTAAAGGTGTCCTCCATTTATAAATTTCGGCCAAAAAAGAATAAGAATTTGTAAAATTAATAATATAATTTGTTTTGAAAAATGTAGATGTGATCAATAAATCAATAAGTACCTTTGAAAACGCTCAATAATAATAATAATAATAATAGTAAATGGTTTTCAATAAACAAATTTAAATAAATTAAATACTAGATACACTGAACTGGCACTCAATTTTACATAGCATAGAATAATGTAATAGAAAAATGTCCTTTCTTTAAGCACATTTTAATTATCAGATGGTGTAGATTAGTAAATTTTAAACTACCTACACTTTATCTTCTTATCATTAAATAAAATGTCAATTTTTACATCGAACCTTCGAATATTTCCAACTAATCAGAGTGAAAGAAAAAAATGTAGAAATTATCTTAATAATGTTTGATAGCATCCAATTCCAAATTTTACAAAGACTTCTAATACAATATATATTTAGAAAAATTAAATAAGATCATCTCATTAGTTGTACATAATGCGTTAACACTGCCTAGTTCTTGTAGTACTTATTACGGCTCGCTTATGCCTCATATTAACTTGGTCGATTTTACATTGGAAAAAGGTAACAAAAAAACTTGGAATTGAACTTGAAATTGAGCTCGAAATTAGAATACAAAAATAGTACAAAGTATGTATATATGTAATAGCTGTTTATTATTAAACTGTTCAAAATTCAAAATTTATGTAACGGTTTAGACTAAAACAAATTTAACTATAACGAGGTTTGATAGGTAACGAGTGTGGAGTTGCAAAAATATACAACTCCACAGAAGAACCTTTTAAAATTTCAATTTTGGAAAAAATATCATAACAAGAAAACTTCTTTATATATTTGAATGGGGTAAACATAATTGATGTCCAATTAAAAACATCAAATTGTTGATACTAATAACAAATAAAACGGGCCTTTAATTACAAAGAAAAGCGTTGCGTATTAAGCATTTTAATGTATTAATGTTGCTTAAATTAAATATCCTTTCACCACTCGACATGGTTTCAAAAGGTACAACTAGAATGTAAGTAACGATGCATCCATAGACCAAATTAATATGAGGCAGCTTGCTTATATTTCCACAATATTTACTTACGGCGATATTGAACTATTCGTGTACGATATTCGCTTACAGTATAGTTTATGGAAAAAATCACATGTAAATATCTCGACGGATATGACAAAATTAAATATTTTTATATAAAAGTGCTCCACTGTTTTATAAGGCTTTAAAAGTATTTGAATCGGCGAATATATCGCGCTATTTGCAATTTCGAAATTAAATATCTATACACTGTGTTATGTTTTATTACTTTTCTAAATATAAACCATGTCTGATGTTTAACATCTAGATAGATTCTTCCTCATTCTAGACAGATTGATGAGATCCATTGTACAATACAATTAAGATCTATGGGATCTAGATATCATCTGCCGAAGAAGCAGAGCCTAAGAATCGAAAGTACAAAAATAATAATGAAAAAATCTTAAAAGATATATTAACACAATTTTATTGTTTGAAAGCATTTTATTTACAGTACTAATTAATTAGTTCAATATGAAAACTATCTAAGGTGAATTTGTATCAATCATGCTCCGGTTTCTTTCGTTCAAATGGATCGGACCATACTTTCATATCTGTAAAGACAGAGTACATTTTCAATTATTTTTCATCATCTGTTTTCTTTTTTAGATTGGATGAGCTCACAGCCCACCTGGTGTTAAGTGGTTACCGGAGCCAATAGACACCTACAACATAAACGCCGCTACCCACCTCTGTCAACCATGTCAAATATAACTAACTATACCGCTAAGTTTATCATTCACAACTTTGCAGTTACTAGTTGTTTATATGTGTGATGGGAGCTCATATCCAATATATCCTCAAAAATCATTATTATAAGCCTATTCTTTTTATAAAGTTAGTTATTTACTACTTTAATTACTATACAATTGAGATAAACAACTTTAAGTCTCACCGTTAATGACAATGTTCATGTGGTATCTGAGGGTTCCAGTAAGCACTCACCACCAGTTGGGTCTTGAGCTCATTCATCCATCTACACAATAAATACAAAGTTTCTAATTATATTTCAACTCTATTACTAAAGTTTCCATGGCAATAGCTTTTAAACTTACTTCCAGGTTGGATGTCTTCTTGTCGTATGTTTTTTCTAGCTTCTTTTTGAATCTGTTCTGAAATTAAATTGAACAACAGCCAAGTTAAGAAACAAAGTAGTGAAAAATGAGAAATCGTAATACCAGTAATTTATTATCTTACTGTATTCGGAGACATCGATCATCGGACTTATTGCTATTGGATAAAGAGTTAATCCTAATAAACCAATAAAACCGCCGATAAAAGCTGTGTAACGCCAACCACGAAATATAGCCATTTCAAAATTTTATTTTCATGAAATGTGTACAGACATTCAGAATTATGAGTTTTATCGATTTTGATAATTTGTATTTCGACTTTAACCATTAATATCCTGAACTTATATTATTGATAACCAGCTGATTTTCAATTGACATTTTTTTTTTAATTATTGTCCACTAAGAGTAGTAAAAGAAATATTGCTCATACAGCCTAAGCTAAATTTTTTGGAGTGGGAGATAAATAATGTTACCTAAACCAAAAAGTATTTTATTAGATTTATGTAAAATATTACAAATTTACTGGAACTTCAATTGATTTTTCTAAAGAACTGGGAAAGTATCCGCAACAATTCCACAACTTTCGGGTGATCAGTCCGATTGCCCGTGTCATTGATATTGATATGAGTTTCTGTATCATCCTCCACGTCGCTTATTTTTTTCTTTTGTGCTCTAGTCATTACTGTTAACAATATTGAGTTCATACATTTTAATTCGTCCGAGTTTGTTGGTAACCTAGACAATGCATCCGATACGCAGTTATCTTTTCCTTTAATTTAAATGATATTAAAATCGTATTGTTCTAATGTTAATCTATGTTTTACCAATCTACTTGACGGATTTTTCATTCCAAACAAATATATTAACGGTTTATGGTCAGTTATAATTGTGATTTTTTTACCAAAAAGATATGGCCTAAAGTACTTTATTCCCCACAATTGTATGCATTTCGATAAATACCAAACAACCAATAAGAAAATACTAGATTACTGAAATAAGGTCTAAAACGCCTCGCTATTTTCCTTACAGTAGTCTAAGACATACCTAGACTTCTTTACCGTACGCATTAACTTCAATTTAATTTAGTGTAGGAAAGAGATCAAAATATATTTAGGGTGTAATAATACATATAACAAAATGTCCGCTGTGAACGTATCAAATACCACGCTACATTAACACGCTCTGATCAATAAATAGTACCTCAGGATGTCGCAAATTTACCAGAGACCAGTCCAGATACATCCTATTTCCTATGAATAGCTGTGTTTAAGAGGCTTGTATAGTCCAGTCATTAAAAGGGGTTGATCTCGGAAAATCGACCTACCCAGTATATTACCACATGAAAACCTGTATTTTGGCATCCTAAAACTATTCTCAAAATTCACATATAATTGGATAGCCGCAAGTTTTAAAATCAGGGATCAAGGGTACAAAGTCGATTTTTTTCACATTTTTTGCAAATATATCGTTTTCTATGGGTTTTACGCTGTTTGTATTTATTGTTAATATTGTAGAGAATTAAATTCTCCACAACTTTTCTATTTGACATTTTTTTAAACTCTTTAATCAAAATATGAACATTAGAATTATTTTGTAATATTGTAATGGTAGCAAGTTCAAAGTTGCTAATTTTAAGTTTGGCGCTTGGCAACTCTCTCTTCCGTTTCAGCAATATAGGCCTGTGCATGGCAAATTGTAATTTAAATTAATAAAATAAGAATAAACGCAAATATTCAATATACGAGCCTGTATTTTATTTATACATATACCCTGAACTGTTTTCGAGATAGAGGGCGTAGAGCGCGCGGTCAAAGAATTATCTGAGGTCAACTGGTAGTCTCGATCAAAAACTCGTAATATTAATGTTATAATTTAACAGTAGGCAGCGGCCTGGCTCTGCCCCTGGCATTGCTAAGTCTATGGGCGACGGTAACCACTCATCTTAAGGTGGGCCGTATGCACGTCTTATTGCTAAACCTAAAATGATTATTTTTTATAAACTTTTAGATTAAATTCAATTTTTTCGTTACTTATCTATTTATAATTAAGTGTCAATTTATTTAATAACACATCTTACATGTAATTAAGAAATTGTTGAGGAAAATACTTAAATTGTATTTTAATTCTAATCTACTTTATACTAATAACTTTCTATATTAATGAAGAAGAAAAGAATTAAAATTTTAATTAAAGTTTTTATTAAAATATTTTTTTTGAGAATAAGTTCTAATTTCAATTTTCTTCTTCTTTTTCTTATTCATCGTCATAGTCCCTCTGCTACAGAATTTTTAAATTCCTCTTCATTACCGTCTTCAATGACATTTGTCTCCAAGACATTCATAATTTCTGGATCAAATATTCTATCATCATTAATATCGGTCTGATATGGTACAGCATTAGGCCCCAAGCTAAAGAGCATTGCAACCCCAATTTCCTGCGTCCATATCTTGAGCCACAGCCACTATTATATATATACATTTTGAGAATAGTTTTAGGATGCCAAAATATAAGTTTTTACGTGGTAATACACTGAGTATGTCGATTTTCCCAGATCCTAATTTGGCCTAAAATGACTGGACTGAAGTGCGAACCCGGAGACTAGCAAGACTGACTGCGAATAAACTCAGACTTCTCTGACAAATCGAGAACTAGCCCATGTTGCATACCGATGACAAAGTCGTGTGCTCATTTCCACACCACCTTTGAGGTAGAGCACTGTTGGCGCGTTTTTTTTATAGTGGTATCCCCTGTAGGCCTAGTCCACTTTTTTTTTAAATAATACACAGAAAAACAAACCAAGAATATACTCACATGTGTCAACGTCTGTCAATGCAAATGCTAAGGCGAATTCATGTAACATAACAGATACACAAAAAATACATCAGTTAAAAAAATACATACATAAAACATTTATCAATTTTGTAACAAGACAAAATTGATCGCGCAGCATAAGTAACAATGTTAAACACAGACACTGTTCACTAAATTTTCAAGTCTCTAAATGATTCACTTTTAGGATCATCAAAAATAAGGTCACGAATTACTGTAATTAATCGAACCAACGTTAAACAAACAATGCCTATGTTTAGCAAATAGTAACACAATAAAGTACACAATAAAATTCACCATAATTGTCTTAAAGTCTTAATATTTCGTAACCGGACTAAATTTTGCGATATAATTTGATTTCTATAAAACATCGAACACTGTTTGGTGCGCCATTTTGATTCTTCAATCACAAGATGGCGGCAATATACCGGTTACGAAACATCGCACAGTTCTTGAACAAAATGTATACCTCCTAAGAGATTCCTAACACTTCAATAGAATGTTCTCAGCCGTACTTCCTGATTTTCTTTATTCTTATTAATCTTTGAATTCTCATATTATCATCCAATCGATTTAGATCTGATGTAATTTTGAGCACAGTCATCTGTTGGAGAAGAAAAAAACGGATAAAATGAAATGAAACATAATTAATATTTCAGCTATAAATCTAAGAATCTTACTTTAGAAGCCAGGGATACTGTAGAACAGTGGACGATTGCGTAACTCTGAAGCGACCAGCTCGGGATGCGGTGCGGCGTCAAATGAGGCCCGCTCGTAATTCAGAATTCAGAGGGAATTGCGAGATGCTCTGCGCATGTCACAAAATTCACAGGGTTGAGTGGTGAGAGGTATTATAGATCGACCACACCCTGTTGCTTGCAGTGCGTGATGAATACAAGCATTAAAAGGTCATCCATGCTGGTCATATTGTACAAAACACATAATCAATTTTAGATTTAATCTAATTTAATTTTTACTGGTTGTAGAACGTCTTTCGAGTCCGCATGGGAAGGTACCACCACCCTGTCTATTTCTGCCGTGAAGCAGTAATTCGTTTTAGTTTGAAGGGCGGGGAAGCAAGTGAGACCTTACAACTCATGTCTCAATGTGGGTGGCGGCATTTACATTGCAGGTGTCTATGTGCTCCGGTAACCACTACACATCAGGTGGGCCGTGAGCTCGTCAACCTAACTAAGCAATAAAAGAAGATAAAATTAAGTCGTGTCTTAGGTACATCATAAGTCATAATATATCATAAGTAAAGTAACTACAAAATTAAATAGTTCATAGAGGCTGCGGGACCTTCTGCGCATGTCATGAAATGTACAGAGAAAATAGTCTATTGATCGACCATCACACAAGTTTTTCAGATGCTGAGCTAATATTATCAACATCTAGAATATTCCGTGAAGTTGTCTGCGACAAATTTTCTGTTTTTTACCTATTAAATTGCTGAGTATAGTTAGTGTCCGTTGTTACATGATTTTTAAAATATTTTTCGTTGCCGACATAGGCAGAGCAAGGCATACCAATAGATCTCATAGGAAATATATCTCATCTCATAAATCTCTCATTGACACGGGGTGTTATAACGGGAACGCATTACTGCTTTACTGCTGTCACAGGTAGGATATAGATATCGACCGAAGCTCTCAGGATATCCTAGCAGTATCACTGACAGGATTCAAGGTAGAATTAGAGATAATATGTCAAGTCGTAAAATTACAGATGATGGCGAAATAATACTACAAATATCTTCTGTACAGACGGACTGTTCGTTCATTACAATAATGTAAAATCCTTATCCTAGCAGCTGACTTCTTAATAGTTACTGTCCCAGTTATATTAGGCTCGTGGTAGATGTTAGGTATGCAACATTATATCTCGACTTTTTTAAACGTTTCAGTGTTCGTAGTGCGCGTTTTTTAATGTTCTCGATAGCGTTAAAGTTAACTCAAATTTGTATGCAGTTGCAACAGCGCCCCTGTCGGCAAACGTAGACAAACATTCCAACTCCGTAAAAACTTTCACTAAGTACACTGTACTTGAGTCTCAGCATCACATCAGTAGAATCTATTAAAACTTTCTTAATACAACAGTACATCACTGTTACTTTCCTATATTGTAGGTATTCTGATTCTAGCGAGCGCGCATGGATGGGTATCCACAGCCCACGGAGTTTCTCGCCGAATCTTCTCAGCGGGTCGCATTTCCGATCTGGTGGTAGATTCTGCGAAGCACTACTCTTGCTAGAGCTAGTGTTAGTAACTCCTTAGGCTGGAACCCTGTGAGCTCACCTACTCGCTCGAGTTTATCATATTAGGTAGGAAAAAAAAGGATTGGTATCACCATCTTGTTGGCTGCAGAACTTTTGTGCGTTCAGGTATAAATTAGCTATGTCAACTGTATTGATACATACCCCGAAATTATTGAGGGTAGTCACTCTATTACCTAAATGACATGTAGGTAGGCACATCGGACTGATCAATAGCTAATCTTTTGATCTGTCTCGGTACAATATATATACAAATTACCGATTAAGATACACCAGACTCCATATTCGAGTGTGATAATTTCGTAAAATACCTACGTAGAATTTAAAAACGTAATTTTCAAATCCATCGTCGACATACCTAACGAGTCCCAAGTTGGTATAAATTAAATGTATAATCTATGGTATAAATCATGAAACGATTGCTTTACTTAGAATATGTACGGTTTGTTGATTTTTTTTCTACATTCTGGCAATACTTCGTGGCGCGTTCAAAACGTAGCACAAGTATGAGGAATTTCAATTATGGACATTTATATATATACTAACTAGCCCGGCAAACGTTGTTTTGCCATATAAATTATTTCTAGGAAAGATCCGCAGCGCCATCTGCCGTGCTGATTTGTGAATTTAACCATCCAGGGCGCCATCCAAATGCATACAAAAAAAAATCATCCAAATCGGTCCAGCCGTTTAGGAGTTAGGAGAAATATTTAAATACCTATATATTTCTCCTCTCACATCTTTATGTGTTTAGGAAGATCGGTAGAATTATTTTTTATATAGGTACTTAAGTAAAATGGCAACGTCAGTCATCGAAAGTTGCGATCTTTTCGTGGTGTGCGCTGAATGTTTAAATAGTTTAAGCAAAAATAATTGACGCTACAACTATGAAATTATGTTAAATTTCGCATCCGCTTCAAGTGCAGACGGGACCACGCCCGTTCCGAAGCTAATCAATGCACATTCCTGTAGAATTCAGGACATGCGCAGACTTCGACGCTACTGTTGACTAAAAACAGGATTTTCTGATTGATAATTAAAATGATAAGTCATTTTCATTAGTGCACACAATAAAACCGTAGAATCCAGTGTGACTGTGCATTAAGAAAATTAATATGAACAGCAAGGCGATTGCTATAAATGAACAATAGGACGTTAACAAGTCATTTTGAGAATTATTTTCTGTTCACGCTTATACCTTTTTTCCCTATCTAAGCTGATAGCCTTGAGAGGCTATTTCAGCGTAACCATAACTAGTAGGTGAGCTCACTGGGCTCAAACCTGACGACGTTGCTAACACGAACCCTAGCAAGGGCCGTGCTTCGCAGAATCTACCGCTGGATCGGAAACGCGATCCACTGAGAAGATCCGGCGAGAAACTCAGTGGCGCTTAACCGCTGAATGTGATTTTGTATGGAAATAGTTTCAATCCTGGGAACTGAGCATGGATCTCGACTCACCCGTTACAAGGTGTAGTCTATATAAACGAAATTTCGAATCATGACTCTTGAGCATCGTGCTCTTAATACAAAACAAAAATAATTCTTAATTATGGAGCTGGGTATGACGAACGAAAACGAAATTTATGGTATCGGTAGAAGTCCCTGTTGGAACCGCTCAGTTTAAATGTCTTATTTATAACTTAAATTTCTCGTGACGTGGCGTAAGCTTTGAAAGTAACACATGAAAAATTCCAGACTCTGCTATTTCAACTGCCATTTTTCTATTGACATCAATCTATATTAATCTATATTTCTATACTAAATATATAAATCTACAGTGGTTTTTACGGATGTTCCGTTATAACTACTGAGCCATGCATCCGATTGACTTAAAACTTGGTATCCATGTAGAAAATACATGTACTTAATGGATAGGCTAATATTTATATGAGTGTTGGTCTCCCTAATAATAATGACAATAAATAATGTTAATTTTAAATGCCCAGCGAAGCGGACGAGTACGGCTAGTCGAATTATACGACCCAACAATCCACTGAGTTTCTCGCCGGATCTTCTCAGTGGGTCGCGTTTCCGATCCGGTGGTAGATTCTGCGAAGCACTGCTCTTGCTAGGGTCAGTGTTAGCAACACTCCGGTTTGAGCCCCGTGAGCTCACCTACACATGTTAGGGTGAAGCTGAAATAGCCTCTCAAGGCTATCAGCAAAGGTAGCAAAAAAAACGACCCAACTAACGACGAGGTGTCACAGGTGGAACAGCAGCAACGTCAGCAACTTAAGAACGTGTCAAGGCGTTACTGTTTTATAGCTACAATTACTTTTATGGCTAGTGCTCTCCTTGCAGTATACAAAATTTAAAGAAAATTTAACAAACAGACATATGATGGAATTTTATTTTATTTTTAAATTATTACATTGCTTTAACTAATTACGCGCCCCAGGATATGGTTCTGTAGAAAGAATCGTTAAAGCGCTATTAAAATTGTTGAAAATGGCTGCGATCATAAATCTGAGCAGAATAGTCTGGGTGTGGTCATCAAATTGAATCGATCAATACTTGCATTTATGCAATTGCGCAGTTTAGGTGTGGTCTTTAGACGCCACACCTTTATCGGTGCACTCGACTACAAGCCAATAATCTCTTCCGAATTCAATATGAAATAGCTGAACATGAAGCCGTCCAAGTGGTAGTTTTCATCGGCCTTCGCGAGTCGAAGACACGATCAAAACTTCTAACTGTATCTTTCTTGTTTCGTACCCTTCACAGCTTTCGTGATTACGGACGAAAATGCTCTTATGGATAGACCTTTGAACGTTGTGTTTAGTTTAATTACCGTCGAATTGTTTTAAGTAAAGTAGTAAAGTTTAAAAGCGACAGATTAAAATCGTAAAAATATTTTTACGCCATTCGATTAGTTAGATGATTCGTGTAAAGGTAGTCGTAAAACCGAACTTCTTGTTGCTTTCACCAGCGGTGATCACGTCACCAATATCCGCCTTCGATCTCTGTATTGTTTTTCTGTGACGTAGCTAAAATTTCCATGTTAACCGATTTTGCCAGTTCCCCTTCCCGAGAGGGGGTGTCTGCTACGACGTTATCTTTCCCATATATATATATATATATATATATATAGAAAACTTGTAGCGAATTTGGGGTATAAAATCGAAGTGGCGGAATTGGCGGAGCGTCGATCTTCGACAAAATTCGGAAAATACCGAATAGCTTTGTATACCGCCAGAAATTCCCGATCCTAAATTGAGTGTTTCCTCTGGGCTGAACCCAGTTTACGACTGGAGAAAGCTGATTACTGCCATTCTTTATTAACGCGAGGTTTATACTCCGCCAATAACAGTGTCCGATTTGCATCTGCAACAAGGGCTACGTCTGCGACAAATTCGAGTGTGCTAGGAGGGTAGCATCATCAGGTTTTGTTTGCAGTGTTGAGAAGCCCTTAGGGTATCACTGGCATATGCCTAGGAATCGCGTTTGTTTTCTGACAGTTTTTCGGATGGGGAACTGTTGAATCGCTTCAACCTTGCGTCCATGCAACCTGCCTTGATGTCCATGGGCTCGATACCAGCCAATGAAGTA